TAAAAAGCTTGGCGTGCTCAACAGAGCGAGACAGTATTTCATGGCGGCACATCGCTTGCAATTTTACAAAGCGCAAATCCGGCCTCACATGGCATACTGTTCTCATCTCTGGGCCGGGGCACCCCTGTGCCAGCTCCTTCCACTTGACCGCATCCAGCGCAGAGCGGTTCGAATAGTCGACGACCGAGTTCTTTCTGATCGGCTCGATACACTGGCACTGCGTAGAGATGCTGCATCTCTTTGCGTATTTTATCGCATTTACCACGGGGAGTGCTCTGAGGAATTGTTCGGACTACTTCCAGCCGCTCAATTTCACCATCGCACATCGCAACAAAACTTGCGATACCATCCATACCACCTGGATGATTGGCGGTCCACTACTGTACGATTTAGAAGACGTTTTCTTCCTCGCACAACTTCCTTGTGGAATCGATTACCACCAGCGATTTTTGGGACCGATACGACTTAGGGACCTTCAGGAAAAGAGCTTACTCCTTTTTAAAAGGCCCACAACGCATCTGCATTTCCTTACCATTAGATGAGCCGCATGCTCGTTCGCCCCCTCTCCCATAAAAAAAAAACAAAGCTGTCTTCCATAAATTCGCGAATACGCCTTGGGAGTAGGAATATCGGAAAAGACGCTTTAAAACCGGTGCCAACTCCGAAGCCTAAGTCTTCAGCACAATGGGAGGGACTCCATTAGACCCACTCGACTTGTTGACGTCCAAGGAGAGGAGTGCTTTACGCTCCGAGCGCTGTGTAAACAGCACTTCCTGCATGGAGCACTCACAACGTCATCTAGAGTCGAGTTGGAAGTAAAAAGAGAGCCTAGCAGATAGAGGCTTTTTCCTGTGCGTCATGGTCCAGCGAGTCGTCCACCCTGTGCAGAGATGGAAGAGATAGCTGACAGAAGTTCCCTTGGACAGCCTTGGCGAGGGACCAGAATGAACAGTTTCCCCAACGAAGGCGAACTAGACCTAACCTAGAAGCGGAATTATAGTTCTTTTAAAGAACGCTGGTGTTTAAATCCCGAGACGTTGATGCATCAGCCCCGGCCCGGTAGCATTCCTGCCTGCTTATAGCGTGATTCTATTTTACAGGGGCGACCAAACAATGGCTGGGATCTGCCTCCGATGAGCACTACAGAGGATGAAATAAAAAGTCCCATACCCTGAAGTTCGACATCAGCGTCAGAATCAACAACAACGCTGGGATCATCCGACGAAAAGCAAACCCGCCCCCAAGGATAGGATTAAAAAAAGACCACATCTTATCCCAATCGGCCGACTTATACTACCAAACACGGCGGCAGCCTGCAGAATGCAACCGCGACATTAATGAGTGGCATCACACTCCGGACAAGACAATGGTCCGAGGAGCCAAGAGGGGCGTCGACGGAAACCTGATATCCGTCCGGATTAGAGGTCAATAGAAGGTCCAACAGGGAAGGTGCGTCATCCTCAACATCTGAAATCTGCGTAGACGAAGTAACCAGCTGTGTAAGACCATATGGCAAGGCAAAGTCATAAATAGATCTCCCCGTATGGTCGGTCAAACGTGAATCGAGCCATTCGGCCTGGTGGGCGTTAAAATCGCCATGGATCACGATCTCTGCGGATGGGATCTGCTGTAGCTAGGAATCTGTAGCTATTTGAACGTGGTCGATGAGTCTGTCTGTTTCGGCACTACCACTATGGGACAGGTCCGTACCTTCCAGACTGCCGAGGTGTCGAAAACAGATGTCCTCTCTGACGTCTACGCAAACTCCAGCCCGGGGCACAAAGGAGTGTTCTGTTTCCCACTGTCGCCTCTTACGGCACATATCCCGTGGATAAGAATCTATATCAATCGCAATCTACGGTACGAGAGTGACACTGAAAGTTTTTAGAAAATCAAAAACTAAACAAACTAGCAAGTTATAAGTTTCATTATATCTTTTCAAAATAGTGTCCATTTACATCAATACATAGCTGCTAGGTCGTTTCTCCCGAACTTTTTCCAAGACAAGTGGCAAACAATTGTTAGTGTACCACTCTGCAGTAACTGTCTTTTGATCCTCTAAAACAATTGTTACGTAATGACCTGTCCTTCCGAAGACAATAAAATATTTAAATACAAGATTATCTATTTTATTCATAAGTACTAGTCTGTCATCTTCATCCAAGGGCTTTATCTTTTCAGATAACAACTGACCGTACAAATATTCATTCGATTATTTTTACTGCATTTATGCTTGGACCTAAAGATGAGACGTATTTACGCTACCAGGTATTCACTTCAAAGTACGGCGCCCTGGTACAAGCAAAAAATACTTGCAAGTATGAAAATACTTGCATAGGAAAATTATCCATATTTTAATAGTAATAAGAAACTCAATCGTATTTGTGAACGAAAAATACTTTCAACTTCAAAGTATTTTTTTTATTTATAGGACTTTGCTCCTTATTCATAGTAGGATAACATGTAATACGGGTGAAATTCCTATGCAAGTATTTTCAAATTTTGACACCACCCACGGCTGGACACGTCGCTCGCGTCACAATGAGACGTATTTACGCTACCAGGTTTTTTTTCGGCGCCCTTTTTGCTTTTACGATCAAAAATACTTGGAAGTATGAAAATACTTGCATAGGAAAATGATCCATATCTCAACAGTAATAAGAAACTCAATCGTATTTGTGAATGAAAAATACTTTGAACTTCATAGTATTTTTTTATTTTGATTGATTTTTCGAATAAAAATTTATTTTAATTGAAGCCACAGAAAAAAACAAACATTTTTGGGAATATCAAATGACTTAAATCATTTTACGCTATTCTAATGTTGCCATTTAGTATATTTATACTATTTTCGTATACACTTTGTAAGACTACCAACACAACACACAAAATATTTTTATATTAAGTTATTATTAGTAATAACTGTACTATCAGCAATAATAAAAATAAGTGATATGGTTGAGAATAAGTCTCTTACAAAGAATTTCCTACAATAATACATTATCTCAATCATAGTACTATGTAACAATTCCATTTAATGTTATGCCAACATTAACTAAAATAAAATGTCACTGTTTTTTTTACTGGTTTTATGGCTCTAGGTTCTAGCCCTTCTGAGAATGTCACTATGATACAAAAGACCTGGAGCCATGCCAGAAATATACATTTATAGTATGCAAATATATAATAGAGATACAATAATCTAAAAACTCTCAATTATGTATTATGTATTAAGCTAACATCAAACAACCACAGGAAGCATGACTTTTTCCAAGTGACTTAGGACATAACCTAAATAGTTCAAATGTAAATATCTTTTTTTTGACGCCTTCTCAGTACAAAATTCTTTGACAGAGTTATTAAGGGACTGAGGCTTAACATTTTAAGATATTTTTGGTATATAGACGCTACCATTTCTTCTCAACTAATTTTATGTATGAAAGTCTGCCACTGTTCTTTTGTTTGTCTTTCTGCCCGAATACAATCTTGGACTTCCATTTACCACCAGGTAGAATTGTGGTCAAGTACTGAAGCACTGGGTTATAATAAGTAACAATAAACACGTCTAGACACATCGCAACTATAAGTATTATTCGCCCGTCTTCGTTAGTTATAACATCTATGTCAATAAATCACTATAGTGTTTTTATATGAATTTACAACGTGATTGTACTAAAAAAAAAAAAACTACAGTCCGTACGGATAAAGAATGGCATTAAGGATAGCGGCTCATCGCGCCCGTACAGTCCACACGCACGGTACCAATGGCGAAAACCCGCTAATAACGGGGTATATCGTTACATTATTTGGATAATTACAAATTTTCTATTAATTGTAAAATATTTGTAAATAATTGTATACGCAACTAGGTATATTAATTTTAAAATAACATTAATAACTATTGACCCGCTCAGGCTTCGCCTGGGTGGGATCTAATTGAAGACATGACATAAAAACCATTTATAAGACCATCTATTTTATCTTATCAATATTTCTATAATAATAAAATTTCTAAAATTTAATATAGATCACTGTTAGCATTACTCTATTTGTGAAGTTTTATTACAATCAATTCAGCCATTCCGAAGATTAGCCCGGACAGACAAACAAACGAATATTTCAAAAATGGTTACTCATATCTCAATGGTATGTAAATATTTTATACAAAATATTATTAGACATAATTAAAAATTTAAAAAAAATTGTGCAACCGACTTCAATATAAATTATTAAGAATAACTCAAAAAATATTGGTCAGACCTTAATCAAATTTATATGGGACCACATGAGAAGCACCAGCTTTCAAATAAAAAAAGAATCATTGAAATCGGTTCACCAAGAAAACGGCGGGTGTGAGTATAGATAGCGATAGTGTGCGAGCGAGAGGTGAATAGAGGCAACGCCATTTTCAATCCCATTCTTTAATCGCACGGGTAGTAATTTAAAAAAAATTGTGCAACCGACTTCAATATAAATTATTAAGAATAACTCAAAAAATATTGGTCAGACCTTAATCAAATTTATATGGGACCACATGAGAAGCACCAGCTTTCAAATAAAAAAAGAATCATTGAAATCGGTTCACCAAGAAAACGGCGGGTGTGAGTATAGATAGCGATAGTGTGCGAGCGAGAGGTGAATAGAGGCAACGCCATTTTCAATCCCATTCTTTAATCGCACGGGTAGTACTACAGCCCATCACAAGTCCACTGGTGAACATAGGCTTCCCCATAGATTGTAACAAAGTAAGGTCCTGTGCTACCTGCTTACATCGACTGCCTGCGTGTTTCATCAGGTCGTCACTCCATTAGTCTTCACGAAATTTGACATACGTACCCCTATGTCGAATTTCGTGAAGACTGTGGTACCGCGGCTAATATTAATAAAATAATAAATTACGTTTGTATTATGACCGCAAAGGTTTATGAAATAAAAATCTTTTATGGTATAATTGTTTTATTTACACTTTTGTTCATAACTGTACACGAAATATTTGGAATCTACTTCAAGCTACGTTTCGGTCTACCATCCCTTTTCAATTTCAGATGTATCAGCTTCATGTGAGTGTTGAGAATACCAGACTGGGAGAAGGTGGCTGGACACTTGCTGCACTGGTACGGACGCTCGCCGGTGTGCGTGCGAATATGACCTTTTAATATTGGGTTCCGCTGCGAATAAGAAATTATGAGATCACTATTGCTATTAAACAGTTCTTCTAAGTAAAGATGTCAAAACTAATTAAGATCCCGAGGAAGTAACACGGCTTCATAGAATGCCAGCGTGAACAAGTATTCATATTAGTGTAAGTATTTCGTCTGGTAAACATCCAGTGACCCATTCCCCGCCTCCCCCCAAAAACATAAAAGCGGTGTTAATAAAAAAATGTGTGTAGTTTGAAGAGAACTCCTGAAGAAAGCGGAGTGAGGGCGCCCTCAATTGCGAAATAGATTATTTGTCGTGACGATGGCGCGTTTAGAGGAGAAACACGGGTCCTACGGTGGTGTTTTTAGTGGTGTTGGCGTTAACGGTGACGGAGATAGTGCAGACAATTGAGAGGGCGGGAGGTGCTGTTCATATTAGCTAAGACATCTCATAGCTAATTATTATTTCACAACTTTAATATAATGGATTTTGGCAAAGTAACGCCTGATTCTATTAATTAGTTCTTCTTCTCCTATTTTGGCAACTCGTTATAGTCCACTGCTGGATGTGGGCGAATTCCATTGTACGAAGGATTTGTCATAGATTGGCGATCGCAGTATCAGACGTCTAGCACCTTTGTACCTGCTGTCCGTCTGGATATTCTACGCCTGGTATAAACGGGATGATTATAGCGCCGTCTGTTATAAGTGGTAGAGGCATGCTGTAGCTATATTATGGTTGTAGCAAGAATGTGCCGGTTCAACCGGGGAAAGTCCACGCTCTCACAGAATGTCAGCGTAAAATAGTTATCGTCTAATAGCAGCTAAAAGTTGCTGTACTTCGTATGGTGAGTGTAGAGATCCGGAGACTCTTTTTACGAGGCATTATATCTTAATCCTCAGGGGTGAAAACGCATCTGAATTTCGATTCTCAATCGCGGATAGGCCTTGCAAATATTCGAAAATTTATAGTATTCGAATATTCGACTTTTTTCGTGTATTATTCGAATTATTCGAATAATTAAAAAAAACAAAAGTTGTTATAATAATCATATTTTTAATAGCCAATTTCTTACTTAGAGTCTAATTTCTCTCAATCAAAACAAAATCTTAGTTAAAAATTAAAGAACTGTTTGGAATTTCACTGTTAAGGAACTAATGCACTCTACAAAAAACTATAAAAAGTTGGTGCTTAACAAGACAACAGTCTTTTAAATCGAGATCTGGGTATTGTAATAATAATTATATAATAATAAAAACAAATAGTCAACTACAAATACAACATGCTCTTTCTTTTAAAAAATTTTTTTTAAAAAAATCTTTTATGTAACTAGAAATAAAGTACATACCAAATTCTTTACATTATTGTTGGTATTTCGTACTGCCGCACATGATGCACATAACAAACTTACATATTGCTTACTTACAAAACTTAAAAATTTTAAAAGAAAGATTTTCAACTGTGATAGAATACAAATAATTAATCACTGTTAGAATTTATGAAATCAGAATCAGATCAACGCTACATAGTACAAAAATAAAGTACGTTTTAATCTTTTCATCTAACTTTGGCTTATTCTTACACTTACTACACGTACAACTCAAGTACCTTCAAAGCAAGAGTGAATAGGTATATTCTACGCAAGCGCATTCCAACCTAGACCTCATCACTGCTTTTTTCTAAGCATGATTGTCGTCAATTGCAAGACTATCCTACAATAAAAATAAATCTTCAACGTTTTCCTTGGAAGTGGGACCTAAGGAAACTTAGTTCGTCTAGGGAATCACCTTTTAAAGAACATCTTAAATGGTTGCAAAAATGTATTTTGCTGATGAAAACACCCTTTCACACCCTATACTTGTAGGTGGTATACACATGAGGAAGTCATACGCTTGGCTCAAATGGACTTGTCTAGGACCTCCTCTGTCAAATAGCGCCATCTGCATTCGTACTGATGTTTCTAACTGTTCTCTATCTGATAAATTTGCTGTAGACGTCGGAGTGTCGCAATTAGTGTCATTTATCATTTTTTGTAACTCTTCTTTAAAGGTCATTTCAGATGTTTCCAGGTGTGATTCGTTTTGTTGCTGATGTTGGCGTTGCCGTTGCTGAAGTTGAACTAAGGTTATGTCATCTTCGTCATTATCTGAGTTCTGTCATTTAGAAAAGTATCTCTCGTTAATCTCAGTTATTACTTCTGTAATAATGTTATTGCCTGGTGATGGAAAGGTAGACGAAGGTGGCTCCGCGTAATATTTACTGGGATTGTGGAGATATTTTAATGTGCAGATTAAATTTGGCAGGCGTCTCTGCAATTCCATTCTGCAATTCTATTCTTCAGCGCTTCGAGTAGCCTGTCACTGATAAAACTGTTTGTCTTTTCAAGTTTCGCGACCATAAATTGAAGGGATGTTTCCACAGTAAGCAGATTTGCATTTTCTTGGCACAGCGCCTCTACTGTTGCCTTTACAATATTTAAAGAAGTGGACAATTCCTGCAGTAAAGCCAGCTTACCTGAACTAAACGTGGTATCGTACTTTAAATCAATAAGAATCTTCAATATAGTCTTTTAATCCCAAAAATCTTGTATCGGCTAAATTGCTCCACCTAGTTTTACAGTCTAGGATCAAACCCATTTTATTCTGTTCTTCTTTTAGATAGTTATCGAGAATCTCTTTTCTGGTGGGTGACTTCCTAAAAATTTAACTCACAAAACTCACTCAAAAAGACTAAAACCTCGATAATAAACAAAAAATTATAACCACGCTCCGCCATCCGCACTACCCGCGCGCAATATGCAAATGGACGAACAAAGGCGCCAAACTATCAACACCACCGCACTATTTCTGGAGTTTTCGATCGCTTCCGAGCTTTGACGAACCCTGTCGGATCGGGCGAAACACTAAGGCTGGATTTAGTGCTCGATCGACGGTCAGCACTCAGCAAGTACCGTACGCGCTGACGGTACGTCCTGATCGTCGGTCGAGGCCAAGCGTTTAGTACTTAACTGACGGCAAGCTTTGTTAGACATGTACAATTATGAAGAAATATGAATCCATTTAACTCTATAATAAATCGAGCCTTCGAAATGTCACGCGTGAACTTTAGGTAATATTTTGTGTACATCAATATTACGAGTTTGACTTTCAGAAAATTGGTCGAATATTCGAATATAGAAGATTTAATATTCGAATATTTGGACAAGGTATATTATTCGAATATTCGAATGCAAGGCCTAATCGCGGATAAACATAGATAACTATGGGTCACAGTATCCACTCACCATTAGGTGGACTGTGTGCTCGTTTAGTCACCCTTATTCTATAAATAGAAAATCTATCCACTATGAAATCCTCCTGGCATTTACAATAATAGTCTTCAAAGAGACAATCTACAGGGTGGTAGGACTATTTTTCTGCCAGAGTCCGTCTCGATAGGCACCACCCTCTTACCTATTTTTGCCGCCCAAACCCAATAGCAGTGCTTGTACTATTTCGACCGCCTAATAGCAGTGCTTGTACTATTTCTGTCGCCTAATAGCTGTGCTTGTACTATTTCTTTCGCCTAATAGCAGTGCTTGCAATATTTCTGTCGCCTAATAGCAGTACTTGTACTATTTCTGTCGCCTAATAGCAGTTCTTGTACTATTTCTGTCGCCTAATAGCAGTGCGTATACTATTTCTGTCGCCTAATAGCAGTGCTTGTACTATTTCTGTCGTCTAATAGCAGTGCTTATACTATTTCTGTCGCCTAATAGCATTGCTTGTACTATTTCGGCCGCCTAATAACAGTGCTTGTACTATTTCTGTCACCTAATAGCAGTGCTTGTACTATTTCTGTCGCCTAATAGCAATGCTTGTACTAGTTCTGTCGCCTAATAGCAGTGCTTGTACTATTTCTGTCGCCTAACAGCAGTGCTTGTAATATTTCTGGCCCCTAATAGCGGTACTTGTATTACTTCTGTCGCCTAATAGCAGTGCTTGTACTATTTCTGTCGTCTAATAGCAGTGCTTGTACTAGTTCTGTCGCCTAATAGCAGTACTTGTACTATTTCTGTCACCTAATAGCAGTGCTTGTACTATTTCTGCCACCTAATAGCAGTGCTTGTACTATTTCTGTCGCCTAATCGCAATGCTTGTACTATTTCTGTTGCCTAATAACAGTGCTCGTACTATTTCTGTCGCTTAATAGCAGTGCTTGTACTATTTCTGTCGTCTAATAGCAGTGCTTATACTATTTCTGCTATCTAATAGCAGTTCTTGTATTATTTCTGTCGTCTAATAGCAGTGCTTGTACTATTTCTGCTACCTAATAGCAGTGCTTGTACTATTTCTGCCACCTAACAGCAGTACTTGTACTAGTTCTGTCGCCTAATAGCAGTACTTGTACTAGTTCTGTCGCCTAATAGCAGTGCTTGTACTATTTCTGCCAGTTAATAGCAGTGCTTGTACAATTTCTTTCACCTAATAGCAGTGCTTGTATTATTTCCGCCACCTAATAACAGTGCTCGTACTATTTCTGTTGCCTAATAGCAGTTCTTGTACTATTTCTGTCGTCTAATAGCTATGCTTGTATTAGTTCTGTCGCCTAATAGCGGTGCTTGTACTGCTGTGTTTCTGAGGGGTATAGAGAGCCAGTATAATCACAAGCTGTGAGACATTCCATCTGAGTCCTCAGAGGCGTTCTTTGTTTAAAGTTGGTTGCAGGTGTCCATGGACTGCTGTAGCCACTTACCACTTAGCTGGACTACAAGTTTGTTTGTAACTTCAACTGAAATTAAAAATTAAGAAAACCCCCGAAACAAAAAGTGCCTATGTTCTTCAAACGGCTGAACAGATTTTCTTAAAATATACCTAACAACACTACAAGAAAAGATACTTAATCAATATCGGTTCATCCGTTCAAAAGCCTTGGTGCTACAGACAGACACAGATACCTACTACAAACTTATAACATCCCTCTGTTTTCGTCGGGGGTTAAAAATGGGCTATCGTTGTGACAACGCTAAACATGCTTTTTACGATAAACATATCCACCATCATCATAACAAGTCCACTGCTGAAAAATGGCGTCCCCCAAGGAATGTCAAAATTATTATGACACACACATTCATCGACTTCCTGCATCTCTCATCAAGTCGTCACTCCATCTAGTTAGGGGCCACCTACACTTTGCTTCGCTTCCTTGTACTTCGAGATCTATGGTTAGCCTATTGCCACTAATAAGTTACTGGCTAATTGTGAATGACTCAAGATTTCGATATTTATCCATGGTTTCAAGATACTCACGTCAAAAACTTTATCACACATCGGGCAGGGGTACTTGAGTGGCCGCTTGTACCCTTCGTGTACAACTTGCTTGTGTTCCTTCAATGACCAATTGCTCACGTACGCCTAGGAATAAAAGCAAAACTCTGTTAGAGGATCTTTATATTTTTTTTTTCGAAAAATAAACACCAATTTGTATTAGCTATGATCTCGAAACAGACAGTCGAAAAAAGTTCAGAAAGCAAACAGACTTCTTAATGGTTTCGTTTATTTACACGAATACTAGTTTAAATTTACCAATTTTAACTCCCGATGCTCCCGGCGTCAGATTTGATAGATCACAAATCCTCACAAAAGAAAATTAGATGTGATAAAATCCGTAAAAATAGCTTTATTCAAAAATACTCCTTTCTAAAAGGCCGACAACGCACATGCAATTCCGTTGGTGTTACGGATGTTCATGGGTGACAGTGATCACTTACCATCAGATGGACGGTATGCTCTTTATAAATATATAAGACAGTAATATAAGGTCGATTCCATGGTGAAGTGGTTTGAAGATGAGCCAACAACGTAATGTCGTTATGTGTGCGCCGTCCGTACCATGCTGGATATGACTGTATTTTCTATAGGTTTTCTCTTTTTCTTTTTTTTATTCCTTTTTCTTTTATAGGATCGGGTGACAAACGAGCACACAGTCCACCTGATGGTAAGTGGTTACTGTGACCCATAGACATCTACATCTATCCTCAATAAAGACTCAAGATGCAGATGCGTTGTCACCCGTGAGGACTAAGATGGAATGCCTCTTTGCCAGTAAAAAGGGTCTCCGGTTCTCTACACTCACCATACGAAACACAGCAGCGTTAAGCTGCTATTTTACGCTGGTTTTCTGTGAGAGCGTGGTCCTTCTCCGGTCGAGCCGACCCATTCGTCCTACAAATCTACCACGTAGAGCCATGCTGCAGCTATATTATGTTTTACGTAGTGCACGTAGTTTTCTTATAGGATAAGTTGCACGTAGTTTTCTTATAGGATAAGGGTGACAAGCGAGCACACAGTCCACCTGATGGTAAGTGGTTGCTGTGGCCCATAGACATCTAAATTTATCCTCGTTTGCAAATCAAAATGCAGATGCGCTGTCAGGCATGAGGACTAAGATGGAATGCCTCTTTTCCAGTAAAAAGGTTCTCCGGTTCTCTACATTCACCATACGAAACACAGCAGCGTTAAGCTGATATTTTACGCTGGTATTCTGTGAGAGCGTGGTCCTTCCCCGGCCGAGCCGACCCATACGTGCTACAACTATTTTTTTACGTGGTAGAGCCATGCTGCAGCTATATTAGTAGTATAGTTAAAGTGGATGGAGAGTAGTGGACTGTATTTGGTATTTTAACTGGCGGTGTGAGGTTAGCTATACTAGGGGACTGCTCGAAGAAAAGATGGTACTTTTAATTATACTATATTCACTATTTACAAGGGTTCGGCACTATTAACTAAATCACTATACAAAAGGGAGGTCTTCAGTATGGAGTCTTCTGTCTTGATTCTTCCTTGCCGCTTCCGATTGAATGCTTCTGAATGATCCGAATGAACCCGAATGAACCCGAATGAACAACGACCGTCCGAGGCGCCCTTCTTATATTTCCGATGAGAGCGCTTCATTTCGTGGGGTTAGCCGCCCGATGGCAATTTTCGCCGCACGCGCGCTGATTGGTTGCCCGATATCGCGTGATCAGCGCCGGCGTGCGGGGTGCGCGGGACGTAACGGGGAACGAAGGGGCGACGGGGCGGCGGGTCTCTCGCTGTCCGTAACAATAGTTGTAGCACGAATGGGTTAAATAATTCATTGTTACCCCTTTGAAAACGGGTTTCCTGTTCTTCGCACTCCCCATAGCATCTGTGCAACAATTTTCCGCTCAGCAGATGTCGCTAGTTGGGACTGAGGTTAAAGTTACAGTGTCACCATCAGTGAATGCGTTTCAAATGAAAGTTAAAAAAATAAAACTCACCTTATCACATTGGTCGCACTGAAATGGTTTTATATTGAGATGTATTCTATTCATGTGTCTTTCCAAATCGCGTTTTATGGCAAATTTCTTATCGCAGTGAGAACAAGCTAGTCTGAAATCAATAATATTATTTTATTTTATCTATTCCATTTTATTTTGTCAAGTTACCTCAAAACTGAAAAGCAAAACTGTACAATAAGTGAATATTGCTAGTGTTGATATATGGATCTGAGATGTGGTCCTTTACTGCTGGTAGTATGAGGAACGCTGAGCGAGCTATGGAGAGGGCTATGCTTGAGGTTTTTCTGCGTGATAAACTGAGAAATGAGGTTATCCGCATTAGAACCAGAGTAACCGACATAGCCTAACGAAGTTGTAAGCTGAAGTGGCAATGGGCCGGCCATATAGCTAGAAGAACCGACAACCGATGGAAAGAAAGGTTCTCGAGTGGAAGTCGATGGATGCAGGTGGCTCAGGTTCGTGCTTTGTGGCATTCCATGGAGCATTATGTTCTGCAGTGGACTTGTGATGGGCTGTAATAATAATGATGGTGATGTGGTGGTGGTGGTGATGGTGGTGGTGGTGATGGTGATTATGACGATGGTGATAATTCTATTTAGTAACGCATAAAAGGCCTTCACGAAACAAATAAACTAGAGGTGCGTGGCGAATTCTTACTTGTTTCATACTTTGAAATTAGAACAGGTTGGTGGCCAGTAGGGGGACATATAAAGGACTAGCTGTGCCCCGCGGTTTCAACCGCGTCATCATGTGTCCGAGGTGCGCGACATGACCTAGTTCAAGCATTTTATAACGGTTAGGGTTTAAGCGTCGTTTGCGCGCCCAGCCAAGTATTGAATTATTTTAATTTTACATTATCTCTTAAACTATGCGTCCAAATAACATGGTATAAAGAACAAAGTTTATCTTCATAAAATTTTCTTGATGATGAAGTAACTTTCGTTCGTGAGGATAAATAGGCCATGCCTAATAATAACGCTCATAAATCACTTTTAAATTTTCAATATTTTTTTGTCACAAAATACCAAATTATGGCTTATGTATAAGAAATAGACATATGGTATCGTGGACTTTTTTTAGACGGAGTAAAGGTCTATATTTTTCTAGAACATCTTTGTACATATTTACGTATCCCTAACGATAACACCAGCGTACGCAGATAAATCATTTCGAGAGTGCCTTTTCTTCTCACTTGCTTAAAAAATATCCATATTTAAGGCTAGCTGAGTAATATACCTTAATGCTAGATAGCCTATACTATTCCACATGAATATGGCTATAATATACAAAAAGAATTTTTCAAATCGGACTGGTAGTTCCAGAGATTAGCGCGTTTAAACAAACAAAAAAACTCTTCCGCTTTATTATATTATATAAGTATAGATATACAAGGTCATTTTGTAATAATCGGCCAAATTTACAGAGAAGGTTCAGAATAAGTAATATAGGCAAATGGTGAAAAAAAAATTATTTTGAAAAAAAAAACAAACATTCTGTCCTTTTTAAATTCAAAATGCGTGGTAATGCATTATTTTAACTGATAGTAATGCGCACGCACACATTCGTAAGGGTCGATCGGTAGGCAAAAACGTTGTTGCCAATTTAGGATAATCTATACATCTATATAAATAAATAAAATTGAAGTGTCTGTTTGTAATGTCAAAATAACAGTTTTTTACTAAATGCATATGAAAGTATATACGGTACTTATAACAAAAACACAATTTTTAAATTTTTTGTCTGTCTGTCTGTCTGTCTATCTGTCTGTCGGAGCAAACACCGGCTGACTTTCGAAACGGTTGGACAGATTTCGACGAGACTTTCACTGGCAGTTATCTGATGTTATAAGGAGTAACTTAGGCTACTTATATTTTACAAAAAAAATCAGGGTTTCACGCAACATAATTAAAACCCTAAATTACACGCGGGCGAAATCGCGGAGAACAGCTAGTTTCAAATAAAATTAGTAGAGCCTTATTTACTAGTATTTCCAAAAACTGCAATAACGGTACATCATTATTTATTTAATTGAACTTAAGTTTAAAATTTGGCTACTCTTTGAAAAATAACCCTGTATATTTAAAATTTACTTTTTAATTTAATGTCGCACAAACAAGTTAGCAGTCAACCTTCTGCGTAATGCGTAAAGACCACTCTAAACCATAGACAACTGTAACTAATTTAAAACAATGGGGTAGGTTCTTGATGTTTTCATTGATTACTGTGGGGGGCCATCTTGGTCCTCATGAACGAGACGGCTCTCTTCGCTCCGTGTCCGTCAATAATCAACCGTTAAAGAAAAGCATCGTAAGACAAGTAGCACGTCTGAAAAAAAAAATATATAGGCTGAAACACTCACGGTAATTCATTGTAAACGACGTGTGGCGTGGCTATTTTCAAATGTTGCTTCAAAGCGCCCTCTGTCTTAAAACGTCTGAAAAAAGAATTTTATTAAATAGATGACAGGCCACACAGATTATGTAAATGTAAACACATTCTCAGTTTTACAGCTTCGAAACATTTTGAATAAAATTAATTATACCCTACAAGTACGTCGACGGCTCCGTGGCGCAGTGACTTAGCAATAAGTTGTTGCGCTGGGGGCCGCGGGTTCGAATCCCGCACGGAACCAGTATGGCCTACAAATAATTGTTCCGCGTCTGGATGTTTGTCCTTGTGCAATTTGTGTTTGTTTATGTTCTTTTTTTAAATTAAACAGAAAAGAAACCCACATGACCATGGAACCGATGCGCCACAGTAGCGTGGCAGCTTCATCAGTGCTCTGAAGGCGTTATTGTATAGAATGCGTAGGGCGTCCTAAGATTTTTTGTGTACTTGACCCATAGGCTGCACCTGTAAAATGTTTGACAGAATGCTCTGAACAACGTAGCCTTTACTTCTGCAGTACAGCGCGCAAACGTATGTGCCAATATATTGGCCCGAACAGACAACGCCCTACGCTCCCTATCTATATCAATATCGTCTGAAAGCGTCTCAGTGATCCAGTGGCCCAAATATATGAACTGCGAGACTTTTTTCAGGACACTTGCCATTTAGCGTGACTGGTGGGACAGTGTAAGTTTTTGATCCTGCCCTAAACACCATGAGCTCGCTTTTGATGGCGTTGTATCTCAACCCATGGGCCTCTGCATAACGCTCGCAGATCGAAATTAGTTTTCGAAGGGCGCTGATCGATGGACTCAGCACCACCATGTCGTCTGCATAACTGATGCTGTTGACAAGAACGCCATCAATCGAACATCCAACACCAGCGCCGCTAAGCTCACTGATCAGACGGTCAGTGTACAGGTTGAAGAGGTTCGGCGATGTTAACCCGCCTTGCCTTACACCACACTCCAATCTGTACTCGTCCATTAGTGATCCCGACCAGCGCACAAAATTGCTCTGATTCCCATACCAGTACTTCAGGAGGTACTTATATATGTTTGTCTCTTTTTAATGTTACTTTTTCGTTTGATTGAGTTTCAAATCCCAACGAATTTTTAAGAAGTTATCACTTGAAAAGAAGATACACATCACCCACTTGTCACACTCGACGCAATAGTAGTCCCGCTTGTGCGAGTGCTTGGTGCTGTGCATTTTCAGCTGAGAAGGCGTCTTTAGAGCCTTGCCGCAAACTTTGCATATGAATCTCTTCTGCACGTCCAGCGGCGACACTTCCTCTGCATGCTTTCTGCAAATAGGGAATTAAAATTTCTTAATACGTATTTTATCGCGTTTAATTTACTTATTTTTATCCATGTGATGGCATAAAAGAATCATCCCATTTCGTCTCATGAGTATTGTAAAAGGAGACTTTAGGAAAACTCCTTTACAACTTTCAAATGGCCACTGCTGAACACAGGTCTCCCCCATGAATTGCCTTACTCATAGGGGAATTTTGCCTGTGTTCAGTTTCTCTCTGTCGCCTTTTACGACGTCCACGCGACGATATGGGCTAGCAGATAAGAATACAACGCCACTACACGGTTACAAAACCTAAGATTCGGTCAAGAAAACTAAAGATATCTTTCTTCATAGCATTCTTTATAACGGTGTAACAGTGCGGGCAGCTGTGTCAGACTTCTATGTAAACCACTGGACGGGCTCTGCCTTAGTACATTGCACACTAAGTTACGCTCAATTCTTCGTAATTTGATTTATACGTGGTAGAGCCATGCTGCGGCTATATGAATGCTGCTGTGTTTCATATGGTGAGTGTAGAGAACCGGAGTCCCTTTTTACTGGAAAAGTGGCATCCCATCTTAGTTCTCACGGCTGATAACGCATCTGCATTTTAATTCGCAAACCAAGATAGGTGTAGATGTCTATGGGCCACAGCAACCACTTACCATCAGGTGGATTGTGTGAATTTGTGTGCTCGTTTGTCCTATGCTATAACAAAAACTAAGTTACACTCAATTCTTCGTAACTCCTTTTGTCAACTGCAGTTAATGTGTTTTTTTTTTTAATTAACGCCCCTGCAACCTCGTTGCGTTCAAATCCTTTCTTAGCTGACCTCTACCCAACCACCGTGATTCCTAAATTCCTACCAAATTTCGAGTCTCTAACACGAGGGACATACAATGGGCTATATACTAAAAGGGATTGTATTAACCGCTACCCATTACAGCTTACCAAAACTCCACTGCTGAACATAAGGCCTCCCTTAAAAATTGCTTCATAGGGGGATATTTAACATATTTGCCACACTTTTACCATATTTGCCATACTTGGCAAGCAGGTTGGTTTTTTATTTTTAATTGTTATTAAAAAGATACTGCTGCACATCTCGTGGTTTATTTCCCTCTGTCGCCTCTTACGACAGCCACGGAACGATATAACGCAACCACTACACGGCAACGAGGGCTAATAACATATCGCTCGCCATACGGTGAAGTTATTTGTTAACGACAGGCCACCCATATGTGAAAAATTGGGTTTTGAATAAAAGCTTACACAAAAGAACGCCTCAGTGGCTGCTTTTTAATATTTTGTACATTAGTAACTTCATTTATAATTATTTTCCTTTTATAAACATCCGCAGTTTGGGTTATCTATTTTAATAATAAAATTTCATAAAGAAACATTAATCTCTACAGTTTGGAACTTTTTGTAAGTCCGGCAGTAAATGGAAGTGGGGGGTGACTCTACAACTCCCCTCCCCCTCCCCCACCACTCCCCACCCCCAAATTCAGGCGACTTGATTCTAAACCTTACCCACAGTTTATATTACAAAATATTCATTCGGCAACTTAGTTCAATAATTTATACATATAAATAAAAGCGTCAGTTTGTAATGTAAAATTACGGCTTTTTACTAAATGCATATGAAAGTATATACGATACTTATAACAAAAACAAAATTTTTAAAATTTTTGTTTGTCTGTCTGTCTGTTTGTTCCGACTAATCTCTGAAACGGCTGGACTGGTTTTGACGGGACTGGCAGATAGCTGATGTCATAGGCTACTTTAAATTTAGAAAAAGAATTAGGGTTCCGCGCAAATAAAGTAAAACCCCAAATAACACGCGGGCGAAGTTGCGGGGAACAGCTAGTAATCAATATATTCTTTATTATACACCAATACACAATAGAACGAGTCAAAATAAATATATAGAAAGTACAATAGGCTAAAGCTGATGTCATAGGCTACTTTTAATTTAGAAAAAGAATTAGGGTTCCGCGCAAATAAAGTAAAACCCCAAATAACACGCGGGCGAAGTTGCGGGGAACAGCTAGTAATCAATATATTCTTTATTATACACCAATACACAATAGAACGAGTCAAAATAAATATATAGAAAGTACAATAGGCTAAACTGATTTTAACCGTCGATTTCTATTTTTATTTTTAGTTATTTTATATATTATATATACAATATTTATTATATTATTTATTATATACATTATTATTTAATATTTTCATAATTTATATTATTTTTATATATGTAATATTAGAACGTATGCGAATATATTTTATGTTTATCTATACATATAATAAAACTGTAAATAGCAGATGTCTGTACATTTTATATTTTTGTAATAAAAGTGATTGAGGGGTACTAAAAATAAGTAATTAAATACATTTCTACCATTTTTAGAATTTTCTGTCTGTCTGTCTGTCTGTCTGTCTGTCTGTTTGTTTGTTAACGTATCACGTTTAAAGTACTAATTTATATCATAAGAATCGTTAAGGAAATTCTAAAGTGTACCTTCGGGTTACATTTAGTCTTTATTTCATTAAAATCGGTTCATTCCATCAAAAGTTATCTATACATATAATAAAACTGTAAATAGCAGATGTCTGTACATTTTATATTTTTGTAATAAAAGTGATTGAGGGGTACTAAAAATAAGTAATTAAATACATTTCTACCATTTTTAGAATTTTCTGTCTGTCTGTCTGTCTGTCTGTCTGTCTGTTTGTTTGTTAACGTATCACGTTTAAAGTACTAATTTATATCATAAGAATCGTTAAGGAAATTCTAAAGTGTACCTTCGGGTTACATTTAGTCTTTATTTCATTAAAATCGGTTCATTCCATCAAAAGTTATGATAAATATTCTGAAGTATGGCTACAAAGTATAGGTACGAATTTGTTCAATGGTGGCGTTTGTTGAGTCATCAAGTACATTTTAAACTAATATCATATTATAAATCATAACATAATTAAATGATGTAAAATAATGTTCTATAATGATGAAATTATATCTAAAACGCAGTAAACAAAAGTATTGCATAAAGAACGTAATAAATATATTAAAAAATATATTAACCTTATTATGTAAATCTAAAGTACAAAAGTTAACCCATTTCATCGATAGATGGTGGTGTTGCACAAATGTCATGCAAGAAGGCAGGTTGTGGTTTTTTTTCTGTAAATGACTTTTCATATTTGCTGTTAATCTTTAAATTACTCGCTGCCCTACTGTGTATTGACAATATCATTTATTCTTTACCGCCGAGTACTCTACATGGTAAATAAAATTTTAAAAGAGCTATTAACAATTTCGTTGGTTTCGGCGAGGATCAAACTTTATTTCTTACTTACGATGTAGGCCTGATTTATAAGTTCTTTTAAGTTTTTTTATTGTATCAATCGCGTCAATTAATCTCTTTTATTTTTAGAATTGATTTTAACAGCGCCATCTATCCTTATATCTCTATACATGCGGTAATCACATGCTGTGTCTGATTCTGTACATTGTATAGTATATTAATTTGTGACTAAAATCATTATGGAGACTGAAACTCATTAAATAAGTACATTTTTATAATTTTTAGAATTGTCTGTCTGTCTGTTTGTTTATGAACGCATCACGTCTCACGTAAACATCTTTTTTTCAAAGAAATTGTTTAGAAAATAATAAAGCGTATCATCCAGTTCAAAGATTAACTTTATTTATTAAAATTGGTTAATTCTATCGAAAGTTTTGATTATTATTTTGAAATGTAGGTTCGATTTGTTTAAAGGCGCCATAAAACCTCAGAAATAGTAATAAAATGATTCCTTTTTATAAAAAAACGTTTTATTATAGTATATTTATACTTTAAACACAGTAAACAAAAAATATGTTTTCCTTAAATTAAAAAAGGATGTCTTCCACGAAGAACGTAATAGATGGCGTTGTACGTTAACGAGTCCATTCAAGCTGAAAGAGCCGTGTAATGTGTAAGCTAACAGCACAAACATCATCAAAAACAGATATCAGAAAAAAGATACGTACGCCCAAGCTAAACGTAGCAAAATTGCATCAAAAACAATATGTCATGATGTTGTTTTATACCAAGAATCCACATTATATCAAATAACTTTCCTTTCAGTTCTAAGCGTGTTCTGTTCCCACTTCCCATTCCCAGTCAGCGTGTGTTATGCGATGACCGATGACCGTAAATAAAGCGCAAGGTCAAACTTTACGCGTTGCAGGAGTAGACCTCAGTACTGACTGTTTTGCACATGGCCAACTCTATGTTGCTTTTTCCCGCGTTAGTAGCTCCCGTAACATTTTTCTGTACGCCCCGGCTAAGTCTACTTCTAACGTCGTTTACACAGAAGTTCTATCACAAACGACTCAGAACTTTGAGCATAACGATTTATTTTGGTGCCACTTATTCATACAGTAATGATATAAATCTTTTAATATTCTCTTACCTAAACGTCAAATTCTTTAAGTAAAACCTATATACGCGAGCTACGCCGCGGGCACAGCTAGTATATAATATATGTCTAGTAATTTTAAAATTTTTTAACACCTACCAACTTTTACATGTTTAATTCTCTCAGGGTTGACTGGTAGAGAATGCCATTATGGCATTAAGTCCGCCCATTGTAATCCTTAGATTAAGGTGTAACACAATAAGGAATAAATTAATAAAAAAAAATAGGCGGTCTTATCGCTCTGGAAGCAATTTCTTCTAGACAACCCTTATTTAGCAAAGAACAGTCGTTTACGCGAATTGCAAATAGGGAAGGTGTACATAAATTTGACAATAAATTAAAAAAAAATTATAAATATATAAATACACACAAGATGATGACGATTGAGGATAGGTAGGATAGATACAATTAAGTTAATACATAAATAGTTGAACTGGTATTTTCTTTTAAAAAATGGGTATTCTTTTATGCACTACAATCAGGGCCCGGAAACCGGTTCAAATTCTTAATCGGTTTCGGTCATTGACACCAAAACCGGTTTTTACGGAATACCGGTTTTTCAGAAATTTAGGTTTGGGTAGTAAAAACTAACCGGTTAAAACCAAGTTTTGTAATGTCCCCCCCTCTCCCTTACCGCGCTTGCACCCAACTTTGTACGGTTGCCCTCTGTTTAATTCACGAGGTTTTTTAGACACACGTACGATACATTACATCAACGTGACTGCCTTGTAACGTACTCCCTCATATTTTTTCATCTTTCAGCAACAATCGTATTATAAATAACAGAAGTAAGTTCTGTTTCAATTAATTATGCGTTATCTTCACTTTAAAATTAAGTTTCAATATCAAGTTTAAACTGACCTTGTATAATATTTAAATTGACTTTAATTATTATTTAACGTTTTGTATTAAAATTACGCTTTGCATCTTTAATTTAATGTTATTAGTTTTAGTAATATATCGCAATCATTTTTTTATTTTTTTTTAGGATTTGTTCTTTTTAGGACTGAAGTGAGGCAGATTACCAGATTTTTTTTTAAATTCAGAAGCTCTTGATTAGGAACACTTCTAATGTGTAAAGTTTAACTAGAAGTCATGTCTAAAAAAATTGTTTGTTATGTTCAGAGAATTCTAACAAAAGAAATTACCATTTTTCACATCTCATTAATGAGGAATTGGAGCAAATCTTATCATGTTGTATACGTACAAGATGCTACTAAAAAATATTAGCTTTTCTAAATAGAGTGCAAGGTAACCACATAGAAGAAATTAAATTTACTGATACTGAAATTAATAAAGAAAAATAATTTGAATCTAACAAATCATTATGATTAAATTTGGTTATACTTTGCTGTCGACTGTAACCAAATACATACACTAAAAACTCCTGTCTTTTATTTAAAGTAATTATTAATAACTCCCAATTAACTAGATCATTAGTATAAATCACACTGATATCTACGATCTTGTATTGAATTATAAAAGAGAATTATTAAAAGTGCAGCAAGGTTTTCTGACACCTCAATATCAAAATAATATATTAATTACTTTGGAATTTTTTACAAACTTTCATACTTTACGAATATGGAACTATTCAAATAAAATTGAAGTGTCTGTTCGTAACGTCAAAATAACAGATTTTTACTAAATACATATTATGAAAGTATATAATATAAAAAATTGTATATTGTATAGTCAGTTTGTTCAGGCTAATCTCCGAAATGGCTGGACCGATTTTGACGGGCCTTTCACTGGTCCGATTGCCAACTGTCTCGTTGATCTAGTGGTTACTAGCGCGACTGTGGATCAGGATTTGGTCCTGGGTTTGAATCCTGGGTCGTACCAAGTACCGTTATTGGATTAATTTGGGTATAATGAGTGTCCTACAAACCACCGACTATCAAGGTTTTTGTTTTATTACAGCCCTCAATCAAGCACTTAGATTTGTCGGTTTTCTCGTCGTACGTTTTCTTATAGAAAAAGACGCAAACGAGCATGCGGATCACCTGATGGTAAGTGACTACTGCCACCCATGAACAACCGCCACACCAGGAGAATTGCAGGTGCATTGCCGGCCTTTTAGAAAGGAGTAAGCTCTTTTCTTGAAGGTCCCTAAGTCGTATCGGTCCGGAAAAATCGCCGGTTGTAAACAATTCCACAGAGAAGTTTTACTAGGAAGAAAACTCCTAGTAAAACGCACAGTGGTGGCCCGTCAAAAATCCAGATGTGAGGATGGTATCGTGAATTTTGGCGCGATGTGGGTTTATGAAATATGGCGGCTGAGAGTAAACCGAACCTCAGAGCACTCCCCGAGGTAGATGGGATAGAAAATGCAAAGGGATGCAACATCCCTACGCAGTGCCAGTCAATCGAACCGATCAGAAATAATTCGAACATTGTCGACTCGAACCACTCTGCGCTGGATGCGGTCAAGTGGAAGGAGCTGACACTGGCGTGCCCCGTTCCAGAGATGAGAGGCCTAATTTGCGCGTTGCTGAGCACGCCAAGCTTTTTAGAGGCCAATTTGGCCTTCCCTTCCAAATGACCACAAAATTGCACTCCGATGCTAGCTGAGGCGGGCAAGGGCAGTGCCTTGAAACTGAGGAGATACGACAAAGGGGTTCTTTTTAGCGGTATACGTGCAAACTTGTGTTTTCTGGGGATTGAACTGGACTAGATTTAGCCGCCCTCAATCCGAGACTTTGTTCAGCAAAGAATCGACTTCAGACCCAAGTTTGTTTCGGTACTCGGAGACGATTTCCCGAGAAATATTGGCACGGCCGGTGTATATTGCATCACCAGTGCTGTCGTTGTTACCAGTTTGCAAGATAACATAGATATGCAGTAGAAACAGCGTTGGTGATAGCACGCAGCCTTGTGGAACACCAGCGTTAATAGGCTTGTATTCAGAGCATGCACCGTCTACTACGACCTTGATGCTCCGATCAGCAAGGAAACTGGTGATCCAATTGCACAATTTCTCGGGAAGCCTACAGCAAGGAAGCTTCGAAAGAAGCGCTTTGTGCCAGACCCGATCGAATGCCTTCGCTATAACCAAATTAACGGCCAATGCGAGTTAGATAGACCAGAAGATCACCAGCTGATCAACCCCGACGAAAACTGTTTATAATGGATTCCATTATTTTGAAGAACAAGGAGGTGATGGTGATATGCCTGTAGTTTGACGGGTCTGAGCGGTCGCCTTTATAGGGATCAAAGGGTGAACCAAAGCTGTCTTCCATGATTTTGGGATAACGCCTTAGGAGTAGAAGTACCGGAAAAGACGCCGGGCTCCATCAGGCCCACTCGACTTGTTCAAGACCAGGGAGTGGAGTGCTTTGCGAACCGAGCGCGGTTTATACATAAACCGCACATCTGGCATGGAGCACTGAAACCGCGGGATAGTCGGCGGTGTTCCCCCGTCATCGAGAGTCGAGTTGGACGCAAAAAGAGAGATTAACAGATCGGGTTTCTCCTTTGCGGCATGGAATCAGTGAGTCGCCCTCTCTTTACAGAGATGGCTGACAGAAGTTCCCTTGGACAGCCTTGGCAAGAGACCAGAATAAATGGGTTACCGAAGGAAGGCGATCTAGCCTCTCAGCAACTCCGCCGATGTGCTCTGATCTTGCCTTGGCAATTAATTTTGAAGAACCTGGAGGTGGAATTATACTTCTTTTAAAGAGCGCTGGTGTTTACATCCTGAGACGTTAATGTCTCGGGATGTAAAGATGTCGTCAGCCCAGGCCTGATAGCACTCCTGCTTATAGTGTGATGCTATTTTACATGAGCGACCAAACCATTGCTGGAATCTGCCTCCGATGGAATCTGAAGTACCACATCAGCGACAGAATCAGCAACGTTGCTGGGATTGTCCAGCGAGAAGCAAATCCACCCTCAAGGGTAGAATGCAAAAAAAGACCGCATCCTTTCCCAATCGGCCGACCTACAATGCCAAACACGGCGGCAGCCTGCAGAATGCAACCGCGACGATAGTCTGAGTGACACCACCCTCCGGACAAGACAATGGCCCTAGGAGCCATGAGGGGTGTCGACGGAAACCTGATATCCATTCGGATGAGAGGTCAGTAGAAGTTCCAACAGAGAATCCGCGTTAAAATTGCCAAGGATCACGATCTTTGGAAATACCCCCCCCCCCCTCCCCCCAGAATACCAAAATGCGCGGGGCAGCTTGAACACACACGGTCAGGAACGGTAGGGTAGCTTGGGCGTTGGTGCTCAGCGAAAGATTCTGCGTCACCAGGATGCTGGTACCCTCCTGTGGTAGTTTTTTATTTGATTCCGCTACCACCTGAACCAGAAGTAAACTTCTACTTCACCCTGGTATTCTGTGAGCTCGTGGTACTTACTACCCGGGTTCGAGCTGGCCCATCCATGCGACAGCAAAAGCTGCCGCGTGGCTCTAAATTTAAAGTTAAAACGTAAACATGGAATAAAATATTTTTACTTTTTTTCTGCCCATCATAAATAAACAGCCGATACACAAGAATAAATTATTTTCTTCGTTATGAGACAAGCCCTGTCTTAACGAATAAAACAAACACAATAACTGCCTTTCTTCAAATCTTCTCTAATATTTTCACGTTTTTCGTAAACACTAGACACCCTGATCGCCACTGAAAAAACGTATCGCTTAAAGGCAGATAATTGATGATAAGTATGCCCGTATGCGGCGATGCCGCATAAGCACCTCACAACGTGAATCTACCTGTCCTATTCATAACTGCCTTTACGTTTTACGGAATTAACCGGTTAATTTGGGTGTCAAACCATTATTGTAACCGGTAACCTTTATCGTTTAGGTTTGATAAAAACCGGTTAATTTTTTAACCGGAAATTGAAGTAGCGTTAAATTTACCGGTAATTAATCGAAATTAACCGCTCTTTTTAAACCGGTTCCGAGCCCTGACTACAATTACTGCAAAACGGCTCGTAAAAGTAAACGAAGCGTTTTTAAATATAGAAACCCGACGTTAGTAATAACTAAATGAACTCACGCAATAATATGAGACTTCAGGACGTCCTTGTTGGCGTACGTCTTCTCACAGTAGGCACAGGTCACCCGTTCCTTGTTATTATGCCAGTAATTATTGTGCTTTCTCAATAATATTTGACGCCTGAAACATAACAAAAACATGGTCAGTTCCTTATCTATTTAAGAGGCCGCCCGGGTAGGTACTACCCTCTCTCTCGGGTTGTTGTTATCCGTGCATATACACATTGTGTTAGTATGCGCAGGTTTCGGAAGCGCTAATCCCGATCGCCCGCAGCCTACGCACACTAACACAATGAATAGTTTTTACACGATAAACAACACTACATCCTTTTCTTCTTAATACTACGAAAATACACTGATTTGCGATTTTCGACACATAAGCGCACAGGACGAACGCTGACAGTACACTAACTAAAAGCCACGCCCACTGTGATGACGTCTGGACCTAGTTAGAATCACAGTGCACAGATGCTTAGGCCGCATCCTCTTTGTATTTGCTCCGTGCTCTAGTATGAGAAATTTAACTTTTTTTTTAAACGTAACCTCCAGGCTAGGATTATCTCCTGTGTCGTGGGGACAGTTTACAAACATGAATTGCACAAGGTCACCCGGAACAATTATTTGTAGGCCATACAAATACTTTTTCCGTGCGGGATACGAACCCGCGGCCCTTAGCGCTGTAATCCAATTGCTAGCCACTACACCACGGAACCGTCGACGATTTGAGGACATTATTTTATTTTTACTAATTATAAAAAACAGTGCTTGAACACAATCCCACCCATAGACTTAAGTCTATGGGTGGGACCTGACAGCCCGAAAATGTGTAACCAATTTTGATTTGTCACTGTGTGCGTTAGCTAGTGATGTACATTTTACTTAAAAGGACTATCGAAAAATAAGTGATAAACTAGCGGTAAAAAGATAAAAAAGAATAGTTTAATGCACAAAACTGAGGACTAAGATGGATTGCCTCGTTTCCAGTAAAAAGGGTGTCCTGTTCCCTACATTAACCATATGAAACACAGAGTATTAAGCTGCTGTTTGACGCTGATATTCTGTGAGAGCGTGGTTCTTTCCCGATCGAGCCGACCCAATCGTCATACAACCACAGATTATCCGCAGCATGGTTCTACTAAAACTACACGCTACGACAGTTTAAAGACAGTCTAACAGTTGGGAAGCGAATGTACTTGTGCAGAGCAATATTGGGGGTCTTGCGGGGCGACGCGACCTTGTGCCAGCACACTCCACTAAGGCTTCTATACAATACGTGCGGTTGACGCGAGCGTGTTTTATAGTGCTTATTTAACTAATTTCAAATGCCGTTTTCAAAAAATATTATGTCTATAATGGTGAATTATATATTATATACTTTTATAGTTATATGAGTTACTAAGTAAAATTGAATTCAAAAGACGGCCATGCTTTTGTTTCCCTCCATTTTTTAATAAAATTATTTATCCGAATGGGAATACACTACATAATTAAATTTAATAATAAAAAAAAACCTCTAAAAAATAAAGTGTCAGGAAAATATTTGGCAGTGCAACATTTGTAAATGTATTTTTTCTTGTAGTAATAAAAAATATTCTAGTTTAATAAATGTTTTAAACTTATAAGTATATACATAATGTTAATAAATGATAATGAGTATTTTAATATTCAAAGCTATTTTATTTCCAAATTCGTGACAACCCTTAACATACACGTCGGCGGCATCGCCTGACATCAAAGGCGTTTCACAACTGTTAGCTCTTTAAACTGATACGCTACTCTTAAACAAGAGCAGGATGGCGGAGATTTTGCTGCCACACATCCCTCTCAGAAAAGGAGGCCGATGCCAAGCTTTTATCTGCCTTATTGGTCTAGTGGTCGTAAACATGATTTCTGATCATGAGGTCGTCTGGGTTCGAATCCCAGTCCGGGCCAAAATCAGTTCTTGGCAGCAACCCGGAGTCAGGAAGTTGGCGGCGTTTCACCTCCGTACTTTGGAAAGCATGTAAAGCCGTTGATCCTGCGCCTGATCTCTCTCCGGTCGTGTCGGATCACCGTCCCATCGGACTATGAGAGTGAGAGAATAGTGAGTGCACCTTACACTCGTGCACTATAATCCTGTCCTGCACAGATGGCTAATCTCCGTTGAGACTTGCCGCCGTGACCGATTATTATTATTATGTGGGGTATCAATATAGTTGTCTCATCTGGTTGGGCTGTATAAATATATAATTGTAAAGGAAAATGATAAACATACATAAATATCAATAAAATAAAATAAATACAAAAATAATTAAAAACCCAACCAGATGGAAGCCCTCGGCAGGAGAGACCAAACGGCCGAGGGTTAGTGTGAAAGGGAAAGAAACCGACAGACGATATCGAGGAGCACCGCCTTCTTGCATTTGAGCTTAGAGAGATCCGTCACAGACTCCCAGTCGCCTCAGATGACCCGAGAGGCTGTCTGCTGATTAACCCGTTCGCAGAAACGACTACAGGTATAATTTCGATCGGCAGTCCACCCAACATGTCGGTCACCTCGTGAGCCAGGTCCAGATATTTTGTTCGCTTATCTGTTTCGGCTTTCACGAGGTTCTCGTCATAGGGAATGATAATATTATTATGGGACGTATGTAGGATGTTACATAACTTCAGTTCAAACTTACTTGAAAATCTTAGCGCATAGTTTGCATACGAATGCTTCCGCCTTGGTCGAATGGTTCTCAGTGTAATGATCAGTGATTGCCGACATAGTTGTACGAACTAAGCCACATACGCCGCATTCGAAACGCCTGTAAAGAATAAACCTCTATGTACACGCAAATGTACACCCCACATCTTCCGTGGGTGTCGTAAAAGGCGACAAAGGTAAACAGGCAGGAGATGGGCAGCATGTTCCTGACAAGAACAAACTTACAATAAAAAAACTGCGGGTGCCAACCCGCTCGCCAAGCGTGGCAACTATGGCAAATACCCCCCTATAATGAGAGTAACAAAGAAACGGCCCCCAGTCCCCGGCAGCCCCGCTATTCCTGGCTACGGTGGCGACCATGGTAACGGCGGGGCAGGGGGTGCTAAGAATCTCCGGTGGAGGTTCGGTTGCCACCTAAGACGACTCGACCTGGCAACGTACAACGCACGCACCCTGAGGACTGACGAGAAGATTATGGAGCTGGAAGAAGAGATAGACAAGTTACGCTGGCATATTATAGGATTATCCGAAGTCCGAAGAGAGGGGGAGGACACGGTAATCCTCGAATCCGGCAACTTGCTCTATCACCGGGAGGGCGACCATCTGTCCCAAGGAGGTGTCGGATTTATCGTCCACAAGTCTCTCGTTAACAACGTTGTAAAGATTGAGAGTGTGTCGACGAGGGTTGCGTACCTTATACTCAGAATCACCAAACGGTATTCGCTGAAGGGCATACAGGTTTACGCACCAACCTCGGCACACCCCGATGAGAAGGTGGAGGAAATATATGAGGATATCTCTAGAGCCATGCATTCCTCCAAAACCCAATATACGGTGTTAATGGGAGACTTCAATGCAAAACTAGGTACAAGAGAGAACGGTGAGCTGAAAGTAGGTAAATTTGGAATAGAGCAACGGAACCCAAGGGGCCAGCAGCTGGCCGACTTCATGGAGAAAGAGGGACTCTTTATGATGAACTCTTTCTTCTAAAAGCGGCCCCACAGGAAGTGGACCTGGTTGAGCCCCGACGGTTCGACAAAAAATGAGATCGACTTCATTATGACGACCAGACGACAATTGTTCAGTGATGTCTCTGTGATCGCGAGGGTGAAAACTGGTAGCGATCACCGAATGGTTAGAGGCACACTGAACCTAAACGTTAAGTTGGAGAGGTCTCGTCTAATGAAGTCGACGCTCCGTCCCCCTCGTGCTCTGTTCCAAAGTCCTGAAACCTTTCAGATCGAGTTACAAAACCGTTTTCAGTGCCTAAAAGACTGCAATGAAGTGGACGATATGAATGACAAGCTCGTGGAAACTGTCCATGCGGTCGGAGTAAAGTTCTGCAAGACCCGCCGCAGAAGAACACAAAAACTCTCCGATCACACAATCTCAAGGCTGTTAGACGGGAGATGAAGCTACATTCTTCCACAGATTTGACAGCATACAGGCAACTGAACAGACAGATCTCCAAATGCATGCGGCGGGACTTACGCAACTTCAATACAGCTTGTATTGACTTTGAACCAAGGCTCCAAAGTCTTTTCCAGAAAGAGCAAACTGTCAAAGCTGAAGACCGAGTGTGGCAGCATCAGTTCCGGGGCACCTGAGATTTTGAGTGAGATTGAGAGGTTCTATGGGCAGCTGTACACGTCATCGTTGGAGCCACACGCAAGTGTGAGTAACGATCCAAGAGCGAGTCTTATCCGACACTATTCCGAAGATATCCCGGACGTCAGTCTGAGCGAGATTAGAATGGCTCTCCAGCACCTTAAAAACGGCAAGGCCCCAGGCGAGGATGGAATTACAGCGGAGCTTCTGAAAGCGGGTGGAAGACCAGTATTTGAAGTCCTTCAGAAGCTCTTTAATTCCGTCCTCCATGGTGGCATTACACCGCAGGCGTGGAGCAGAAGTGCGGTGGTCTTGTTCTTCAAGAAAGGTGACAACGCTCTCTTGAAGAACTACCCTTCTGAGCCACGTCTACGTGCTGTTTTCGAGAGCCATTACGAATCGTCTCGCGCGCAGACTTAACGACTTCCAGCCTCCCGAACAAGCCGGTTTCCGAAAGGGCTTTAGCACCATAGATCATATACGTACCCTTCGGCAAATTGTACAGAAGTCCGAAGAGTACAATTTGCCACTATGTCTGGCGTATGTGGACTATGAGAAAGCCTTTGATTCCGTCGAAATTTGGGCGGTGCTGCAGTCCCTTCAGCGGTGCCTAGCGTATGTGGACTATGAGAAAGCCTTTGATTCCGTCGAAATTTGGGCGGTGCTGCAGTCCCTTCAGCGGTGCCAAGTTGACTGTCGGTATATCGAAGTGCTGAAGTTTTTGTACAGTAGAGCTACGATGGCTATCCGAATACAGAACCTATCCAATTGCAGAGAGGTGTAAAACAGGGTGATGTTATATCCCCGAAACTCTTCACCACTGCATTGGAAGACGTTTTCAAGCTTCTGGGCTGGAAAGGATACGGTATTAACATCAATGGCGAGTACATCACTCACCTACGATTTGCCGACGATAAGTCCTTATGGCAGAATCGCTGGACGACCTAAGCACCATGCTCAATGACCTCAATAGTGTCTCCCAATGAATAGGTCTTAGGATGAACATGGACAAAACAAAGATCATGTTTAATGTCCATGTCACACCTATGCCGGTAGTTGTTGGGAGCACTAAGCTCGAAGTTGTTGACGAGTATGTTTACCTGGGACAAATAGTCCGACTAGGTAAGTCCAACTTCGACCGAGAGGTCAATCGACGGATTCAACTCGGTTGGGCAGCGTTCGGGAAATTACGGCACATCTTCTCGTCAGGTATACCTCAAACCTTGAAAACGAGACTGTACACCCAGTGCGTGTTGCCACTTGCCAGTGATGACTTACGGATCTGAGACGTGGTCCTTCACTGTTGGCCGTATGAGGAAGCTCAAGATCGCTCAGCGAGCTATGGAGGGCTATGCTCGGGGTTTCTCTGCGTGATCAACTTAGAAATGAGTATATCCGCAGTAGAACCAGAGTAACCGACATAGCCCAACGGATTAGTAATCTGAAGTGGCAGTGGGCCGACCATATAGCTCGAAGAACCGAAAACCGATGGGGAAGAAAGGTTCTTGATGGCAGTCTCGTACCGGTAGGCGAAGTGTAGGGCGACCACCCACGAGATGTAGTGACGACCTGGTAAGACATGCAGGGAGTCGATTGATGCAGGTGGCTCAGGACCGTGCGTTGTGGCATTCCTTGGGGGAGGCCTATGTTCAGCAGTGGCCTTATGAAAGGCTGTAATGATGAATGATGATGATAATGTACACGCAAATAAAACCCGGCCTACTCCCGATAGAGTGATATAGGCGATATGATATAGGTACCATCGTTTACCCAGGCCACGACGTATTTCCGATCTTTTCCATAGTTGTCTCTTACGACACACACGGGGCGAAATGGGGTAATGAGATTTTTTATAATATTTTTAATTGTTTACTAGATTTTTTCTACTAAATCCCGCTAAGCATTATTTCGTTAGTAGAATTTGGCTACACAGATACTTTTTTTTTTATATAGAATAGGGGTGATAAACTAGCAAACAGTCCACCTGATAGTGTGTGGTTGCTGTGGCCCATAGACATCTACATCTATCTTCGTTTGCGAATTAAAATGCAGATGCGTTGTCAGCTGTGAGGACTAAGATAGAAAGCCTCTTTTCCAGTAAAAAGGGTCTCCGGTTCTCTTCAGTGAATATACGAAACACAGCAGCATTAAGCTGCTATTTTACGCTAGTATTCTGTGAAAGCGTGGTTCTTTCCCTGTCGAGCTGACCCATTCGTGCTACAACTATACTATTAATATAGCTGCAGCATGGCTCTACCACGTATAAAATAATATAGTTATAATAACTTGTAATTTACGACCTACATTGGTCTCTATTACGTTAAGCGAAGTGTAAGCCCCCCCCCCCCTCACAAGATAGTGATGACCCCGTACCTGGACCTGGAAGTCGAAGAATGCATGTGCGGGACAGTGCTTTGTGGCGTACCTTGGGGAGGCGTTTGTTTTGTAATGGACTTGTGAAGGGCTGTAATGATGATGCACAGAATTTGTCAGGAGTTTCATCATACTTACATCCTGTGAGCTTTCTTGTGACGCAAAATCTTCTCTTCCGTGTCCATTCTCTTCGTGCAAACATCGCATTCAAAGTCTCCCATCGCCTGGTAAGAAATATTTGGAACAACAAAAGCACAATCAATTCTTTAAGCATCGATGTCTACGATTTTATAATTTGATATACTTTTTGAGAGCAGAACGTAATGATAATGTATTCTAGAACGAAATTCGGTCACGGCGGCATGACAGGATTATAGTGCCAGAGTGTGTGCGCAAATACAGCTTAGGAACAGGGGTGAAACACCGCCAATTTCTAACTGCGGGTTGCTATTGAGAACTTTAGACCGAAAAATCCAATAACTGATTTAGCCCGACCCGAAATTCTTCGGAAAACTTGGGACCTTGAACTTGCAGTCGGTGGAAGGGAAAGGGAGGAATTAATGCAATTCCTGTGCTCAATGCTAACGAGGCATTCTTTCATCTTCTCGGGTGTAAATGTGACAACATAACTGCATTGTGAATCTGAATCGAGAATAGATGAAGTGTATATGAGTTTGGCCGGTAGAAGGAAAAGGGGAGATCTCCCGCCGGCAAGTTGTTCTGCCCGGGGAGCGGCCAACGCTCCGAGTGGTAGTTCGGAGGTATTCTATATATACTGCTTTAACTTCGGAACTTTGTTAGCGCGATTTAGGCTTCGATATGTTTCGCTTGTGACCCGATGACAGCGCCGCCACAATGGGTGACAATATAATAAAGATTTTAGTTTTTATGATATTACAATATTTATAAAAGCACTTGATAGCTATGTATAATATATTTATTATATAATATATTTATTGATTGTTGATAGACAAACATTACTTAGTAAAAATATTTACATTAATGTGCATATACACGCGAATGGCCAAAGGCTAACTGTCTATAATAATTAATTCATATGATACAAATGTGCAACTTGCTTTGTTAATTTTTAATTGTAGGCAATAAATAATTACATTATTATTACGAAGTGAACGCTAAATAATCCTAAGAAATTTGTACAACAACTGACAGCTAAAAAACATCATCATTGGTATGAATGAATGAGACAACGCTATAACCGATTATTATCAATAGTTTCTTAGCTAACAATAAATGTTTACTACTCACCTTACTATGTAATTCGAGGTGTTTATCGTAACTGGGTTTGAACGTGAAACCTTTAACACAAAGCTTACACTTATAAGGTGAGTTTAGGAATATGTTTTCCTTGGCCTTCTGCGCTAATTCCTTCATACATTGTGCCCTTGTTATGAAAAACCTTTTTATTTCAAAGTTATCTGTGACAAAACAAACATTTTCCTTCCATTACTATATTACAAAGAGAGCGTAACACTGGGGATAAGCACTCGCCATAAAATCTTATTATACATGAGAAACTGGATTATATATTTTTTTAATTGTAATTTTAGTTAGTTCAGCCCGGAGACAGACCAACGCGCATATATACTGCAGTATTTTCGGAACTTTGATAGCGTGATTTAGGCTTTGGTGTGTTTTGCTAGTGGCGCCACGACAGCGCCGCCACAGTTCTGCTTTAACATAATATGTTCGGTGGTAAATAAAAACATTGCGACCCTCATATCTGAGGAAATAATTCATTTCGAGGGCATATGGTCTGCCAAAACGCATTGAAGCTACACGTCAGACTCCATCTTGCCCATAAAGCGATAGAGAGATCTCTGGACATACAGAATGGGTCCCACATATAGGCAATAAATGAAACCACATACTTGATATCGCCTTTGCTGACGAAAAAAAAAGGAACGTAATCGGTCCAGCAATTAGGTCAAAAAATAGTTTCAATTTTAAGCAAATTTGAACTCTCTATAGAATTGGGTCACTAAGTCAATGATTCAATGAACTTGAATCCTTGAACATTAAAAAGCAACGTTGCCACGCAGTGCAAACTATTGCGACGTATTGATAACGGTGTCTTTTGGCGGCGTCCATAAACAAGCGGCACGAGGCACGCGGCGCTCTTCAAAGGTGACGGCGCAAGTGCGCGCTCGCCTGTGTCATAGAGTACCTGTTGTTATCGACCATTAGCGTCTTTGAAAGGGAGTATTGATCGATAAACATAAAAAAATGTTTAGCTTTAAATACTTAGGCCATGGTGTTTTTAGAATGATCGTGCTGTTATGATTATTCTAAAAACACTACGACCTAAGTATTAAAAGCTAAACTTAAAAGCTAGCTAAGTGTGTTCTTGTATGTAATAAATTATTTTGTCATGATAAAAACCCCATAAAAACAACCAATTAAAAAGTCATACTTACCCGTTTCCTAGGAAGTCACAAAACGGTAGTTTCGTAAGTTGAATTAAACAAATTAAAAAAATAAACGTTTTTTTTAACAATCAATAACTTGTCAATTGTTATCAAATCAAAAATCAAAATTACTTGTACTCAAATGTTCAATTTGAAGCGTCAGTAGCCTAATGGCAGGACGCGGACCGCGAAAAGTCGTGGGTTCGTATCCGCCATTCGACTACTGTCGTGAACCACTTCTGCGAGGGCTGCACTAAAAGTATCGGGAATGGAATATTTCCACTGTTCCTGTCATATTAAATTTTTTTTTAATGAAAAGTCCTTGGTTTTAAAAATCGAATACCATTTATTTATTTTAAAAAAGATTCTCGGTCTTGTCACAAGGTTTTGTCAAACTTGTTTAGTCGTTGAGAAAATGGAATTGACTCGAGAAAATTCAAGAGCGATGATTTACTATGACGTTCCAAGTGGTTTAACACAAAAACAGTGTGTTGACCGGATGATTTCTGCATTTGGTGATGAAGCCCCATCCAAAACCACAATTTATCGCTGCTTTGCTGAATTTCAACGTGGACGTGTCAAGCTCAGTGATGATTCCCGTCAAGGTCGTCCAAAAACTGCAGTCACCTAAGAAAACGTTGATGCTGTGCGTAAGCTGATTGAGGAAGATCGACATGTGACATACCGCGAAATTCAGGGAACTTTAGACATTGGCATGAGTCAAATACAAATAATCTTGCATGAACAATTAGGTGTAAAAAAGTTTTTTTCCCGATGGATACCGCATTCGCTCTGTGAAGAGCAAAAAGCGGCTCGCGTTACTTGGTGCGTCAGAACTCTCGAAAGATTCCACGCAGGATCCTCAAATGCTGTATACAACATCGTATCAGGTGACGAATCCTGGATATACGCGTACGAACCCGAAACAAAAAACCAGTCACGAGTTTGGGTGATCGAAAATGAGTTAAAGCCAACAAAAATTGTTCGTTCACGAAGTGTTGCAAAAAAAATGGTGGCCACGTTTGTCTCCAAAACCGGCCATGTTACGACTATTCCTCTTGAGGGACAAAGAACGGTTAATGCAGAATGGTATGCTAGCATTTGTTTGCCACAGGTCGTTTCTGAACTCCGTAAAGAGAACTGCAACCGCCGCATCATCCTCCATCACGACAATGCGAGTTCTCACGCCGCACACAGAACAAGAGTTTTTAGAGCAAGAAACCATAGAATTATTAGACCATCCGCCGTACAGCGCCGACCTAAGCCCTAACGATTTCTATACTTTCCCTAAAATAAAGAATAAATTGCGTTGACAGAGATTTTCATCACCTGAAGAAGCTGTGGACGCCTACAAAACCGCCATTTTGGAGACCCCAACTTCCGAAAGGAATGGTTGCTTCAATGATTGGTTCCATCGTATGGAAAATGTGTCAAATTTCGCGGAGAATACTTCGAAAAGCAATAAATACATTTTTAAATAGTAATGTTGTGTCACTTCCTTGATTCCCGAAATTTTCAGTGCCGCCCTCGTGTAATACTATAGATGCTCAGTGTGCTATTAAGAGGGCTTCCTTGGTCTATTTAATTTTATAGAGACATGGTCCCTCACTGCTGTATTAGGAAGCTCAAGGTCGTCCAATGTAAAAGTGTAGAAGGCTAGTGTTGCTAGTGTTGTTTCGGAGTGCTCGTTTTTCCTGGCCCCATGGCCTTCGCGCATCGGACACGAGGGCGTATGTTGCGCAGGTGTAGTTGGGAGGCCGTGGAGGAAGGCGCGCCATGTGTTCTGGTGCGCCTTACCTGAGAAGGAGATGGGGAAGAAGTGGTCCTCTCCCGAGGGGCCGATGCTGGCGGGACCGCAGATGTGTGCGAAAGCGTTCCCGTGCTGCTAATGTGCAAAGAAAGTGGAACACCGTGCGGTTTTAGTCGGTGTGAGTCCGAGATAACCCGTCCTTGCCCCCGCGAGGCGGGATGCGTAGGCATAAAAAAACGGCTCACTATTAGATGAAGTGACGTCTTGCAGGGTTAGCCAGGTTAATTTTCTAAATTTGTTAACACTAATAGAAAACTATGAAAATTAACGAAATCAATGTTGTCATGTAACTGTCACGTAGCTTAGTATTGAGATGTCATTACCGTTTATTTTTATGGTTTCTTATAGACACACACACACAACAACTTGGCTTAACCAGCTGGTGCAGGTGGCTTAGGATTGTGCGACGTGGCATACTTTTGGGAGGCCTATTCAGCAGAGGACTCATGAAGGACCAATATGATGATGATGATGTAGATAATGATGACCATATGCCCAGGTCCTACGAATTTCGCCTTGAAGAGGTGTCAGCAAATGCAACAGATCTCTACCGTAACACGTATCACAATTTTAGTCATTCACTTGACCAAGATGTCTAGCAACAGTAGTATAATACATACATAAAAACATCTTCCTCTTTTTTTTGTAGTTGATCAACAAACACAAGGAACCAACGTCACCACTTTATAGCTAACAGAGTGTAGACATGACACAGCCTAATGGAGAAGGTCATAAGTGCAAAAAAACTCACTTTTTGATTTTATTACAATATTATCATATTTAATTTTCCGTCTGCCTTTTTCCAAGTCTTTGGATATATCTTTTAGGTCTTTCGTGTTTGCATTGTAAAAGGAATCAAGGTCTTCGTTCTTTAAATCTTGCTGTAAATCTGAAGCAATTTAAAAATGACACTTATTAACAAATTACAATTTTTAATAGTCGGGTGACAAACAAGCACACAGTCGATGCGAGTCCGACATAACCAAGACTTATATCCACAACGCGGGTGTTTGTATGCCTCTCTCCATAAAACAAATAGACAATACCCAACTGTTCCCCATTAAGAGTCTTAGAAATTTAATTTCAGCAACTAAGACAGCAGGCGAGTTGAAATTCGGAGAAAAAAGTGTGTCACTTTATGCGTCATTCTAGGCATCAATATTAAATACACTTATTATATATTGTTCCATGACCATGACAGCCTATTAGAGTCTACTGGTGAACATAGACCTCCCCCATAGATTGAATCATAAAGAGGATATTTGACATAGTGGCCATGCTTGGCAAGAGGATTGGCAACCACAGTTTTTTTTTAGTCATTAGGAAGACGGCGACAGAGGGAAACCAATCAGGAGATGATGCTGCCCATCTCCTGATTGGTTTCCCTCTGTCGCCGTCCGTGCCGGGCCGGGCCGTGGAGGAAGGCGCGCCATATGTTCTGGTGCGCCTTACCTGAGAAGGAGATGGGGGAGGAGTAGTCCTCTCCCGAGAGGCCGGTGCTGGTGGGACCGCGGATGTGTGCAAAAGCCCGTAGCCCTGCTAATATGCAACGAAGGTGGAACACCGTCGGGTTTTAGTCGGTGCGAGTCCAAGATAACCCGTCCTTGCTCTCGCGAGGCGGGTATGCGTAGGCATAAAAAAGGACGGCTCACTACTGAATGATGGATGAACTGATGGAATGACGCCTTGCAGGTTTAGCCAGGTTAATTGTCTATAATTGTCAACACTAATAGAAAACTATAAAAATTAACGAAATCAATGTTGTCATGTAACTGTTACATAACTTAGTATTTTTACATAGTTTTACATAGTTTCTTATAGACAACTTGGCTTAACCAGCTGGTGCAGGTGGCTTAGGATTGTGCGACGTGGCATACTTTTGGGAGGCCTATTCAGCAGAGGACTCATGAAGGACCAAAATGATGATGACGGTGATGATGATGATGACTATATGCCCAGGTCCCATGAATTACGCCTTAAAGAGGTGTCCGCAAATGCAACAGATCTCTACGGTAACACGTATCACAATATTAGTCATTCACAATTGACCAAGATGTCTAGCAACAGTAGTATAATACATACATAAAAACATCTTCCTCTTTTTTGTAGTTGATCAACAAACACAAGGAACCAACGTCACCACTTTATAGCTAACAGAGTATAGACATGACACAGCCTAACGGAGAAGGTCATAAGTGCAAAATACTCACTTTTTGATTTTATTACAATATTATCATGTTTACTTTTCCGTCTGCCTTTTTCCAAGTCTTTGGGTATATCTTTTAGGTCTTTCGTGTTTGCATTGTAAAAGGAATCAAGGTCTTCGTTCTTTAAATCTTGCTGTAAATCTGAAGCAATTTAAAAATGAGACTTATTAACAAATAATAATTTTTAATAGTTGGATGACAAACAAGCACACAGTCGATGCGAGTCCGTCATAACCAAGCCTTATTTCCAGAACGCGGGTGTTTGTAGGCCTCTCTCCATAAAACAAAAAGACAATACCCTACTGTTCCCCATTAAGAGTCTTAGAAATTTAATTTCAGCAACTGAGACAGCAGGCGAGTTGAAATTTGGAGAAAAAAGTGTGTCACTTTATGCATCATTCTAGGCATCAATATTAAATACACTTATTATATATTGTTCCATCACCATGACAGCCTATTAGAGTCTACTGGTGAACATAGACCTCCCCCATAGATTGAATCATAAAAGGATATTTGACATAGTGGCTACCCTTGGCAAGAGAATTGGCAACCAAAGTTTCCTTTTAGTCGTTATTAGGAACACGGCGACAGAGGGAAACCAATCAGGAGATGGGCAGCAGCATCTGATTGGTTTCCCTCTGTCACCTCTTACGACACTCACGGGATGATATGGGGTAGTGGATACTCTTACACCGCCACTACACGGTATATATTGTTCATATAAAACTATATTATTTTAATCAATAGCGATAAAATTATTACGATCCATAAACAAAATACATACAAACCTATATTTTTCTTTTTTCTTCCACATTTCTTTTTTACTTTGCTTTTTTTAAAATCTCTTCCAAAACATACTAATTCCAATTCAGTTGTGTTGCCTTCTGCATTCAAAATATTGTCCAATGAGCATTCCTCTTCTTTTATAGCATTGTCAAAATCTAAAATAACAAGTTCTAAAATTAAAAAGTTTGTACAACCGACTTCAATATAAATATAACTTATAGTTGATTTTTTTAAAACCGCTCGACCGATTTCGATAAAATTTAAATGGTGGTTCCCTGGGAAGTACACCCATTGAAAGAAAAAAGAATTTTCCAAATCGGTTCAGGCGTCTTCAAGTAATCGGTGAAGAAACATTAAAAAAAAAGATTACGACAAGATACGAATTGTAAACCTCGTTCCTTTTTGGAAGTCGATTGATAACAATGTATATGTAAGTGAATGCGATCAGAGAATCCTTAACACGATGATGAGACATCTAGACATGGGTAACTCAGCGAAATTCCTTGCGTTAACTCAAGATTTCGCCATGGTGCAACAAATTTCACACACAGCTGTCAGTTAACTCGGCCAGTGCTGTTAACTGACGGCTGTGTGTCTAATAATAAAACCTTGTGGTCAGTAAGTATAATAAATGTAGATAAGAAAGATTACCTATCACTATCAGTCCTTTTACATTTGTAGTAGAGTTGTAGTTTATAAAAATAAACTAAAATAAGATACCGTAAGCATAGTCTAACTACTAGCAGGCCTGTCTCACTCCGCGCTTTAGGCATGAAAATATACCAACGCTGCGCGGCCGCCTGCATGAGGCTAATTCGTGAGGTTTTCACGTGCCCGCTCGAGCTGACGCACACCTTCCATAAAATATTTTTCTTAAGTATTTAGGCACTTCGAATATTTATTTTTGAGTTTTTATTCAAGTATGGCCTCTCAAAAAGCCAAAAGGTTGCATAGCATACGGGTGCTAAATAACAAAAGGAATGTCGACTTTTTATTCTTTACTTTAGATCTATATAATTAGATACTTAGTTACTGACGCCATAGTTACAGATTTATTATTTGATTAGTGACCCGACCAAAGCTTCGCAGTTTTCGAGTTTTACGCGTATATTACCTCCCAGTCCTAGTGACTGCCTACTAATACAAGATCAGCATATACTGGTTATTAGTTTAATACGTGGTCAATAAAAGAAAGATTGAAAGTAACAGCACTTCTCATTGCCACTCTTTCATTAATAATGAAGTCGCGTGTCGCATGTTTGTAAATAGCAAGAAATGTGAAACAGACATATGACGACTCCGTAGCACAGTGGCTTAGTAATGAGTTGCAGCGCTAAGTGCCGCGGGTTCGAATCCCTGACAGAACAAGTATTTGTATGACCTACAAATAATTGTTCTAAGTCTGTTCTATCCCTGCGACACAGGAGAAAATCCTAGTGTGGACGTAAAGTTTTTTAAAAAGAGAGGAAGAGAGACAACTAATGAAATTAATAATTTTGTACAACCGACTTTAATATTAATAAGCATTATTAAGGATAACTGTTACTACCGGTCAGATCTTGATCAAATTTATATGGGGTGTATAAATTATAAGCACCAGCTCTCAAATAAAAATAGAATCATCAAAATAGATTCATCTAGAAAAAAGTTTTGAAGTAACACACATAAAAAATGGAGTTTAATTGAGTACCTCCTCCTTTTTTGGAAGTCAGTTAAAAATGGTAAGTAGGTAAATTATCTGAGTTTTAAAGACGTTCACATTGTTATAATCTTAATTTTCCTCGATGTTGTATATTGACCTTCCTCAAATTGGACAATAATGTTTTTATTATCAGCGAATTGATGGCTACGTGGCGCAGTGGCTTAGCAATGAGTTGCAACGCTGGGGCCTCAGGTTCAAATCCCGCACGGAACAAGTAATTGTATAAGCCTACAAATCATTGTTCCGGGTCTAGATATTTGTCCTTGTACAATTTATGTTTGTTAACTGCCTCCATGATACAGGAGAAAATCCTAGTGTGGGGGTAACGTTTTTTTTAACAAAATAAAAAAATAAAAGAAATACTAGTACATTACATAACACCTCGGTGTATTTTACTATATAGCAACTAATATCAAAGGATTAAATTTGTTTTCTCACAACACCTAACCCTACAGTTGGAGCGGTCTTAACAAAGACTCTTAACGGACTAAGTGAAACAGACACTCGCACGCGGACGTAAGGTGCATTTTGATTTAATACGTGCGCCAAATAATTATTTCTTTTCGACGAAATAAACGGTAGGCTAATTTCACGAAGGTCACTTCCGAGACGTGCAGAGTATTATGAACATCAGCGACGTTGTAACTAAGTTTAAACTCGCAAGTTTGCTATCAGAGAGTGATCCTTCTATTCTTTTTTCTGTGCTACTAGTAACAGTCGGTCATCGAAGACGTTTAGACTGGGCAATCATGTGGTGCGGTGCGCTGCGGGGCGAGACGTGGGCGGAAAGTTACCGAGCGTCTGTTAGTAGCTCGGGGAAGTGTCCGCTAGGGTTGTCCTCTCACGCAAATGAATTAAAATGGTTCACACTACATGTGCGGTAAAAAAAACTGTGGGTCGTCCTCATTTAAAGATAAGGAATTAGTTTCATCAGTTTCCACATACACATTAATTTGTTTAAACGTGAAATAAAATAAAATCAGTTTTTTTTTATCATTTCTAGTCCTAACAACCTGACAATTTATTGTTTATGTCGGCTTTTCCAACAACATCAAACGCGATGACTGACTGTATGTTCTTCTTAGGCTGTGCCACAAGTGTTCAATAATACTAGTGTGCATTCTGCGGGCGATTCAACACCTTAACAGGTTTCGATTTTCTCGGTTTCTGCGCTGTCCGCCAATTCATTTTGAAGAAGTGAGTTAACACATCCGGCGCAGTGCACCGAGTTCGTACAATTCCGCTGTGCAGCGCAGTGTTACACATGACTAGGCACATTCACTCGTAAGAGTCGACTAAAGGTTATGCCATTGATCTTGAGGCCAGCGAAAGAGTCAGGCCATCATAGAAATACCACCCAAACCATAAATCCGTGTTATACACATTAGATAATAAAATAAAATCCCTTTGGTTTTCGAAATAAGAAATTAAAATTTCGTTTGTGTAACCTCAACGTGTTTTACAATACTAGCAGTCCACCCCGGCTCCGCACGGGTGATTTCTGTATCTCGAAAATAGCGCCACCTAACAGGTCCAACAGCAAATCTACACCATCCAGGAACCCACTCAAACATACAAAAAATATCAAAATCCATCCAGCCATTTTTATACGTGGTAGAGCTAAGCTGCAGCTATATTTATATTATAGTTGTAGCACGAATGGGTCGGCTCGACCGGGGAAGGACCACGCTCTAACAGAATACCAGCGTAAAATAGCAGTTTAATGCTGCAGTGTTTCGTATGGTGAGCGTAGAGACCCGGAGAGCCTTTTTTTTGGAAAAGAGGCATTCTATCTTAGTCCTCACGGATGACAACGCATCTGCATTTTAATTCACAAACGAAGACAGATGTAGATGTTTATGGGCCACAGCAACCACTTACCATCAGGTGGACTGTGTGCTCGTTTGTAACTCTCATTCTATAAAAAAGCCATTTAGGAGGAGCTCAGTGATAAACACACATACAGAGGAATTATATACATATAAAGATTACAGTTTCTAATACCTCCTGACCCTAAAAAATGTCCTCACTATTAAACTAACGTAGTAGAACCATGTTGCAGCTGTATGGTGGTATAGTTGCGGCACGAATAGGTCGGCTCGTCGGGGAAGAACCACGCTCTCACAGAATACCAGCGTAAAATAGCAGCTTAATGCTGCTGTGTTTCGTATGGTGACTGTAGAGAACCGGAGACCCATTTTACTGGAAGAGAGGCATTCTATCTTGGTCCTCACGGCTGACAAGGCATATCTGCATTTTGATTCGCAAACGAAGATAGATGTAGATGTCTATGGGCCGCAGCAACCACTTACCATCAGGTGGACTGCGTGCTCGTTTGTCACCCTTACTCTGTAAAAAGAAAACTAAAAACACTCATATTCTAGTGATCTTAAATGAGAGATACAGATAAAAAAATCCTACTCTTTCTGAAGATCTGAAAGTATGAATGAAACTACTCTATTTATGTGGTTGCTTTATGCATATATATCACAGTGACAGCCCTACTAGGTACATATTTTGTGTAAAATCAGAAATTCATTAATATTTGAGATACTTGAAATACCACCACATAATACCACAAGGCAAGCATAAAATGCTCACTACACGTACTACGATACAATTGTATATAAATAACTATATCCTAGTATATTAAATACATATTTTTTATTTTACATACCAGTTTCGTCTATAAAGTCATTTGCGGCACTGTCCAAATAGCTTTCATCTTCAACTTTCAATTCCACTTTAAGTTGAGAATCTTTATATATGCCATGTTTATATACAAGAACTGGCTCAGATGTCTGTGTGTCATTTCCATCTAATTCTATTATATCTAATGATAATTTACTGAGACTAGGAATTGGTAGAGTTTGACTCTTTATAGACGATATAGTTTCATCTGAAAACTTTAATACAACATTGTTAAAAAAAAGCATAAAACTATGAAGTAATTTAGATAAGGGCTCCACATGTGTCAGGAGTCAGGGCCATGTTTTTGGGGAGGCCTATTCAGCGGCGGATTTCTAAAGGGATTTAACATGACAAAAGTAATTTTTAAATCAAGCTAGGAAACTTCAACAATGATAATGTAGACTAAGTATATCAAATTGATTGTAACATTTGTATTTTATTTTTTATAGGAGAGGGGGCAAATGAGCATGCGGCTCACCTGATGGTAAGTGACTACCGCCGCCCATGAACAACTGCAACACCAGGGGAATTGCAGATGCGTTGCCGGCCTTTTAAAAAGGAGTAGGCTCTTTTCCTGAAGGTCCCTAAGTTGTATCGGTCCGGAAATATCGCTGGTGGTAACCCATTCCACAAGGAAGTTTTGCGAGGAAGAAAACATCTTCTAAATCGCACAGTGGTGGACCGCCAATCATCCAAGTGGTATGGATGGTATCGTAAGTTTTGTCGCGATGTGCGATGGTGAAATTGAGCGGCTGGAATTAGTCCGAACAATTCCTCAGAGCACTCCCCATGGTAAATGCGATAAAATAAGCAAAGAGATGCAACATCTCCACGCAGTGCCAGTGAGTCAAGCCGATCGGAAAGAACTCTGTCGTCGACGATTCGAACCGCTCTGCGCTGGGTGTGGTCAAGTGGAAGAAGCTGGCACTGATGAGCCCCTGCCCAGAGATATTTTTAAATTTATTCTTAGAAAGAGTGTTACATTATTTACATTTTAAATGTTTCCAAACTGTAAGCCAGTTTGTCGGCAACGCAATAGTTTATCGTTTCACACTCCTTAATAACAATATAAGTTACTTATAAATACTTAAATTTACACATAAATGATTAAAGAAACATTCACTACTAAGGACACAACGACAGGTAATGTTTCCTCAAGATAGTTTTGAGCTGCGACTTAGTTACGCTTTCGTCATAAATATCCGCCACCTTATTACACAAGGTCGTAGTTATTCATTGCCTTGTACATCGGCCAAAGTAATTTTCAACCCTATGTATGAGATATTTCTTCCTTTGTGTAACTTGGCGCTTCGGCAGCATTATATGTGTCTTAGGTTTCTTAAACGTTACCATACCATGCTGTTCTAATATGATGGTGGATTTTACTTTCTTGTCTATGTGACATATGGGACAGATGGGAACAGTATTCCATGTGAGGCCGAACCTGCGCCTTGTAAAGTTGCAGGCGATGTGCCGGCATGAAATACTGTTAAAGACGAAGGCCAATTTGGCCTTCTTTTCTAAATGACCACAGAACTGCACGTCACTCGATATGTCGACGCCGAGGATTTCTATACTGGCTGAGGCAACAAGGGGAGTGCCTTGAAACTGTGGAGATACGACAAAGGGGTTTTTTTTAGCGGTAAACGCGCAAACTTGTGTCTTCTAGGGATTGAACTGGACTAGATTTAGTCGCCCCCAATCCGAGACTTTGTTCGAAACGTCGTTGTTGTAGTAGATATTATACTTTCAACCATAGGTGATCCATCAATAATCGCACTTTCATAGAAAAATTTCATCACCCTCTATAGGGATGATTTCCGTGATTAAAACTATCATATTTCCTTCCCGGGGACTTAGAATATCTGGATACCAAATTTCATCTAAATCGATTCAGCGGTTTAAGCATGAAGAGGTACATTTGCTCACGCGGCGATGAGTGATGTTTTCCCCCACATCGCCCGCAGGACGCACGACCGCCCTGCGCGCGCCGGTCTGCACAATTTTATATCGTCGTTAAATTTAAAATATTTGACCAAATTACGTAGTTTAAAAGACAAAACTTATCTACTTTGAATATCAGAAGCTATTAAAGTATTTATTTTGATAAAATCCATTTGTTCCAAAAGTATCAAATTTTATTTTATTTATGGTTCACTATTTTGGTAATAATGGCTTACACATAAAAGATAGATCTATTTAGGAGAAACAATTCCACCATACATTATACCTATTTATGTAAATCTTACAGTTTTTGAACCGCACGCCAAAATAGCTCGCAGATGACAGAATTTTTCCGACTTACTTAACACTTATGTTTGTATTTTGACCAATTTACACAATATCTTTATTATTTATAGCCTATATGTTGTTCTGTTTTGATGTATGAGCTATATTATTGTAAAGTTTCATTAAAATACATTCAGTAGTTTTTGCGTGGAAGAGTAACAAATATTCATACATGTATACATCCTCACAAACTTTCACGTTTATAATATTAGTAGGATAGGATTATATATCTATTAGTTATATAGTATAATTAAATAGCAGTTCGAATACAAAATAGCAGACCGAACTCTTTCTGATCGGTTTGACTCACTGGCGCTGCGAAGAGGTGTACAACATCCTTTGCCTATTTTATCTTTCATGGGGAGTGCTCTGAGGAGTTGTTCGGACTAATTCCAGCCGCTCAATTTCACCATCGCACATCACTACAAAACTCGCGATACCATCCATACCATCTGGATGATTGGCGGTCCACCACTGCGATTTACAAGAAGTTTTCTTCCTCGCACAACTTCCTTGTGGAATCGTCTACCTCCAGCGTTTTTACCGATACGACCTAGGGACCTTCAAGAAAAAGAGCCTAATCATTTTTAAAAGGCCAGCAACGTACCTACGATTGCTCTGTTGTTGCAATTGTTCGTTGGCGGCGGTCGACACTTACCATCAGGTGAACTGCATGCTCGTTTACCCCATTTTCTACAAAAAAATTAAAAAAAAACAGTAAAATATACGACATTTATAACCATATTAAAAATGGTATATAAATATGTAAATCAATGGTGTTACAAAAAACATATACATACACATATATATACACGTGGTAGAGCCATGCTGCAGCTATATTAATTGTATAGTTGTAGCATGAATGGGTCAGCTCGACCGGGGAAGGACCACGCTCTCATAATACCAGCGTAAAATGCTTTATGCTGCTGTATTTCGTATGGTGAGTGTAGAGAACCGGAGACCCTTTTTAATGGAAAAGAGGCATTCCATCTGATACCTCATGGCTGACAACGCATCTGCATCTTGATACGCAAAAGAGGATAGAAGTAGATGTCTATGGGCCACAGCAACCACTTACCATCAGGTGGACTGTGTGCTTGCTTGTCACCCTTTTCCTATAAAAAAAGAACATACCATGTAGTAATTGTGTGAGAACATTAAAATATCCAGTACCCTATTTTATCCCATTGGTGTTGTAAGAGGCGACAGAAGGAAGCAATCCGGATGATGGGCAGCATTGTCTTCCTTTAACAATTAAAAAAACTTATTTCAAATCTGCCAGATGAGCGTGACTGCTATGACAAAGCCCCTCCCCCCCTCCACATTTTTGAAGCAATCTATAGTGGAGGCCTATGTTCAGCAGTGGACTTTTGATAGGCTGTAAATGTACTCATACATTATAAGACATTTTTCACCTGTGTTGGCTTGCAAGGGTTAACAGCTTTAACAAATGAAGAAATAAAATATAAAAATCACTATTATATAATACATTAAACACATGATTATTTAAAAAGATACTTACTTTTGTCAAATTTTCTAACAATATTTGATTATTTAAAACTGTCTGTATATACAGCTCAGCATTCTCTATCCTCCTTTTACATAGATAACAAAGACTTAAATAATCTACCTGAAATGTAAAAGTATAGTAAAGTAACAATAAGTAAATATACGTCCCATAGCTGGGCACAGACCGCCCCTCAATTCTGAAAGGGTTTTAGGACAAGGAAATGTCTTATTGCCCCAATGCATGTCGACGAACTTCACATTCCTTCATTAGAATTTAATTTTCCCATTTCTCAGACATGCAAGTTTACTCACGATGTTTTCCTTCATCCCCAAGCACGTGGTAAATCAGGACTTAAAATTGCAATTAGCAATTTCATTGGAGCGATTAGGGCGAGACCAAAATCAAAATACACCAGTGTGCGTGTAATGAGCATGTCTGGATCCCCCACACATGCACATAACACACACATTACAATTTGATCTCCACTAGTACATGTGTGGGTCCCTCAGACGTGCACTAGTGGAGATCAAACTCGCGTACTATGAAATTTACAGCAATCTCTTAAGCTACAATGGCTCCCTGAGCTACCAGGGCACTTGTCTTCTAATGTATATATTCAATTATTTTAGATAATATAATTGAAGGTGTTTCGGTTAATGATTAGAGTATGAAGTTTAAATAAATAAATAAGGTGTGTCTGTTACTGATTGGCTAACTTCTGAACAACTTGGCTGATTGAAATCATATTCACACAATACATTTGTGTTGCCGAGACAATAGTTCATAGATACACTATGCTATTATCTGATAGTTCGCGCTATAGTAATGTAAACAAATTCTATATTCATGGACCAAAATAACTCACATTCACAACATGGTATATTGGTTTATTACCAAGAAAATCACAAAATTTATCCTGTATGCCTTTTAATTATAAATTAGACAGTTCAATGGCACACAAAAATAAGAAGGAAGCTCAAGCCTTCTTCTTTGTATAAGTTATTGCATGATACATGGACTAAGCTTTCCTGTGCGGAAATAATATATAACATAGATGAGGCTCACTTAGTAAGGGAATATGGTACAAGACAATTCAGTGTCAACCTCCTTGTTACCCATGGTTTAAAAAAGATGAAATAAGCAGGAAGAATGTTGTAGCGCTTTTAAGACTTCGTTCTGGACACATCCTGTCAAATAAGTTCAGATTTCTGATGGGAATATCTAATAACTGCTCAGGGTGTGATACTGTAGAAGATGTCCACCATGTTTTGACGGAGTTTGTTTGGAACGAGGTACAAAGGCAAGATATGTCATTTTTGCATAACCACATGTAGGCAGTTGCAATTCTATTCTATCCTCCCCACTTTGTCAAGAGGCGAAAACGCTAATGAAACTTTATTTATATGTAGTATGAGATTAGAAAAATGTAATATTCTCCACATATGAGGGTAATCATATCACCAGATTGAATTGCAACATATATATTTTTTGTTGTTAAATTTATCTTGATTGTATGTAGTTGTATTACTGTCGATGTTATTATGTATTCATTCGTTAATTTCCTGTTATTATTTGTGTATACTTTACGGGGGTGACAGTGTGACAAAACCCCTTTTGAGGTTAAATCTAATAAGTAGATGGAAAACCTTTATATGACTCACAACTCACTACGATTTCATCTGGATGTGGGATCTATTAATGTGGTGTAATTTATATTGTTCAAAATAATCATTAATGACCATTTATTTTATCAATTTTTCAATTTCACAAAAAAGTTACCCCAAGTTTTCTATATAAAATATAGGTTTTATCACTCCTGGTGTTGCTATCCATCTATTTGTGAAGTTTCATCAATCGGTTCAGCCATTCCAAAGATTATCCCAGACTGAGACTGACACAACAGTCAAAAATTTTGAGATATTCATGTCTCTATGGCATTACAAATAATTCTCCGAGCTCTTTTGATATTACAGACAGGCACTGCAATTTTATTAAATGTATAGATATAGATGATACATTTTTTTACAGGATAGGGTGACAAACGAGCACACAGTCCACCTGATGGTAAGTGGTTACTGTGACCCATAGACATCTACATTTATCCTCAATAAAGAATCAAAATGCAGATGCGTCGTCACCCGTGAGGACTAAGATGGAATGCCTCTTTCCAGTAAAATGGGTCTCCGGTTCTCTACACTCACCATACGAAACACAACAGCGTTAAGCTGCTATTTTACACTGATATTATGAGTTTCAAAATACTTTGACAACACATATTGATCATAAGTTGTAATAGATACTTATGAAAATGCTAGTTCATAGTCATGAAATTATTGTATTATCAACTGCTAATAACAAGTGGTAAAATTAAAAATTTTGCACAACTCACTTCAATATAAATAAAATTAGAACATCGTCAATGTAGTCAAAGTCAATTAAATGCATATTATTAAGGTTAACTCAAAAACCTCTGGCCATATCTTAATCAAATTTATATGGGACCACACGATAAGCACCAGCTTTCAAATAAAAAAAGAATCATCATAATCAGTTCACCTAGTAAAAAGTTCTAAGGTAACACATAAAAAAAATACAGTCGGATTGAGTACCTCCTCCCTTTTCTTGAAGTCCATTAAAAAAAACATGCGTTAGTGTCGTGGAACACTCGGTTGGAAAGAAGTTCCTTTCGTAGTATATTATTAATGTGAAACGTATTATATTATTGATTAACAAAATAAATACAAATAAATGAATTACTAGCGTCTAATAAAATGAAGCGTCATTTAAAATAAAAAAAAAGTTCCTTTCGTAGTAAATTATTATTGATAAACGTATTATATTGTTGATTAACAAATACAAACAAATCCACCAAACCCGTACCGTCCGATAAGGAAATTCATTCCAATTATGAAATTCAATTATATTTATACTTTAATTCCAAAGTGCTAATAAAAATATTTTACTATGAGTTTAGCTTAAACAACACACATTGTTAATAAGATATCATGATTCTAATGAGTGTACTAGGTCATAATCATAAAATTTTATTGTTATTTCTGTCTGTAAAATTTCAGAGGTCTGGAAATGGGTGTAAACATTCCGTTTTTTGACTAATAAATACTCCATCATATTCGTACATAGTTAAGTACATAATGTCACACCTGTAAGCCCTGCAGGGCTAGCATGGGCAGAAGACAATTTAGTCCCTGGGGAAAAGAGAAAATCTTTATCCCTTCACTTAGTTTTATCCACCCGTCGTCATGGGCATACCGGTGGATATAATATACACAGTAGATAAAATGGGCAATGGACTTAGATAGATTTTTGTATGAATATAAACTTAAGCCCACGTCCAATGAACTAGGATAAAATTGTCCCTTTCAAATGTCAAAAAAACATAATTTTTTGCATTTCATTTGGCTCCATGCGAAGGGGGAAGAAAATTACGAAAGGAAGATATGTCTACTCGTCAAGTCAAACTGGGATATACTTTTCCCCATTGCCATGCTTTACAATAAGAACAATATAAATATATCTCTTATCAGTGGATATATTTTATCCCCAGCCCATGCTAGCCATTAGGGAGGGTACACAAAGCACAAAGAGCAGCAAGCTACTCAGACGATTTTTAACAATATTTAAAAATGTACAGCCTACTTCAATAAATATTATTAAGCATAACTCAAAAACGATTGGTCAGACCTTAATGACATTTAAATGGGACCACATGAAAAGCACCAGCTTTCAAATAAAAAAAGAATCATCGAAATTGGTTCACGTAGTGCAGAGTTAACAGAACACACAGAAAAAAAAACATACAGTCGAATTGAGTACCTCCTCCTTTTGAAGTGGGTAGAAAAGTATGGAGATAGACGGAAAATTGTGAAGTGATAGGTGGTCAGCACAAAGCCTACACAATCACAAAACCAATATCCCATTAGTCCCCTTTTACGACATGCTATTCAAGTCCCATATAAACATCATGGGACCTTTATATCCCAGATCAACAAGGGACTTGCATACAAACAAACATATTACATACATACAGGTCAAGCATATACCGTGTTATAAATATGGAAGTTACAATAAACGGCACCTGAAAAATTGTTTTTAGTGCTTCATTCTGTAATTTAAAACTTTGCGTAACTCTATCGTCCTCGAAGTATAGGCAACTAACACAACATTGTGTACAAGATAAGCTATTATCGTTTTCAATTAAATCCATTTTTATTACTTAATATTATGTCTCTTTTTCAGTTAAATCCATTTTTCAGTTATATACATAATTAACAAGTACACTGTACATTATAGTTTCCTGATACTTAGGCTGGCTTTTCACTATGGGATATAATATAATTTATATCCCGAAATATAAATTATATCCCGCGATTGGCTTACACACTGTGAGATATAGGTATCTTTTAATTTTAACTAGTGTGCGTTCGTCATTGGCCATTGGATTACCCCCCTTTACCCCGTACACCGTTCTGCGTGGGTGCGGTACGGTGTGCGGGGTACAGGGGGCGAAATATAATATGAAAATATCGCTCGATCGATCGAAAAATATTTATAGCTTGAGATGTAATATATATTATAGCTAAGTGTAAACGGTTCCATATGAAATGTATGGTGAGCGATATTAATTTATATCTCGAGATGTAATATATATTATATTATATCCCATAGTGAAAAGCGGGCTTTATTGTTATTATTAGAGATGAAGCGTATATACTAGAACAGATCTAGGTAGTAGGTAATAGGTATCAAACGAGACTAGGTTGCACCTGTTCCAGCTTTTAAAATACTTGATCCACCTAGTCTTACTGTGCCTACGCGTCGCATGGCACTGAGCACTGACGCGGCGGCCCGCTCGAACGTAGAAATAGTATATATGCAGTAGGCACGGCAAAGGGAGATAGGAATTTGTTGCCCTAGTTACTAGTCTGATTTGCCGCTCACTCGTATTTGCCTAAATCATTCGTGTCTCAGTCATTTGAATTTGAACTATATTTCAATGATTATAAAGGTAACACGAAACGCACTCGTGTTGTGCATGAATATATTCTGTTCTTTTTTAACTACACTATTCCGCAGTCTTTTTATCTTTGTCTGTCAATATTCGAGACTAGTCGAGACTAGTCCGGGGGACTTCAAGCAAATACAAGGCAGATTTTATAGACTAGGTACTTGTAAATACTCGATGCGAATTTCGAATGGAGACCATATGATGCAGTTGATTGTCTAGTACGGACTTATGCAAATGTGATCTCGGCACCGTATTGAATGATACCTACTCAACTTATTTAGAAATAGGTTTTCGTAACGAAGTTTTGTTTTGTGGTTAAAGAACTTTTACTTTTTTTTATTAGACATTAAAATGTTCGTTGTTTAAAAAAAATTGCAGCAGCGTCACTTGGGGTCATTTTACGGACAAAGGCCAAGAAATGGCTGAGTGTAACATTTGTAAAATATAATTAAGTTTTAAAAACTATTAAGAATGATTTTTACGCATGTATAAGAAACAATGAAAACGAAAAACGAAACAAAAATAATAATAAAAAAATAAACGAATAAAAGACAAAAATCGGATTATTCGTAAATAAAAAACGAATTGAAATCTTTTAAATACACCAACAATCTCGAATGTAGATAAATCTTAACGTTAAGAGTCCTAATCCTAAGCCTGTGCATAGGTAAATAAATATGTAGCAAAGCCTGTGTAAAGTATGAATGGACGATTGATTACTATTCATTACTTTCACGTATCGGGATCGGCTGTACGTAAAGAGTAAGCATACTTTAAAGTGTAAGCTATTCCAACCATACCAAACTCTATGCGTACTTCATGTACTAGGAGTAACAGGTATTTGGATCGAGTATTTGTACATAATTGGACGAAGTGCACCTAGTACATAATTTACCTAGTACGACGCATCTCTAGTTATTATTCCAGTCACGGATTCACGGAATATAAAAAAAAATATTCCGTGATACCAGTATTCTCTGACTAGTATACAGTCAGTGTGACCATCTTTAAAATACAGATCACAGACTAACTAGATACAGATCCTGCCTTACTTTTGTTACTGCAAAATCTTGCCCGTCTGTAGTGAAAAATGCCTAAATACTGCCAACTTTATTTACCTTGTATTAAACTAAGAAAAGTAAAAATACACATATAAATGCTATATTTTTTTAAAAATAAAATGAAACATACTATCTTTCGTTTGTTTGAATGCAATGCAATTGCTCACCAATGCCTTGTTTAACGTGCAAGATAGACGCTACATGTTTGTTTATAAATCTGTTTCGTGTTACGAGTGGATTTGAAATCATCGACACCTATATAATAAATTATTAAACATAAATGATTATTAAATATAGATATGTTTCAGATTTAATAAATTATAAAACCATAGAGTAACATAGGTAAAAATAATAAGATTAGTGGGTAGTTGTAACAGCGCTGTACACTATAAATTAAATTGCCAGAGGTATCTTAGTTCAGTTCAGTTCACTTCGGTCGTGTGCAAGCAAGTCGCTCTGCTAGTAGTTGTTATCATCTACATTAAGTATAATATAATTATTGTGATTCGTTATAAGGTGAATAAAAAGTGCTACAAGGTAATCTGTTTTACTTCATAGTTACTTATTTAAAACTTCAGAAGTGGGATCGTACTAACTATGTCCGGACCGTATATTGGAGGACTAGGAGAATGTAAGCGAAGATACGGCGACACTACAACATCAGAAGAAGATGAGGATGACGAAATTTTTTTTCAAAAAAAAAGAACTTCAATGCTCACCAAAAGACGTCGTGTGTCTCCGATAGACGCGGAAGTTATACCCAAATTCTGCCCAGACGACCAAACCAGTAACGTTACTGGATGGCTTCATAAAATTGACCAGTTGGGTGACATATACGGATGGAATTGCAAGGATCGCCAATTTATAATGCAGTTACGCCTTGCTGGATCTGCTCGGGAGTGGTATGATGACCTTGACGATTATGCTCTTACTTAGGACGGGTGGAAGGAAGCACTTCAAACTGCGTTTCCTCGATCTACCGACTACGTAGACAGACTAGAAACAATGCTGGCAAGGTCAAAAAGTGACTATGAGACTATGACTAAATATTATCATGAAAAGTTATCACTTCTCAAAAAATGCAACATTAATGGTGAACATGCAATCTCCTGCATTATTCGAGGTTTACCACATGAATTGAGAGCTAATGCTAAAGCCTACAATTGTGAAACGCCAGAACAACTTTACTTCGGTTATCTGTCATCGCTTGAAAACTTTAAACGCTCGGAGACGTCCGCGTTTACACCACGCAATTCTATCTGGAGGAAAAATACACAAATTACTTCGGGTCGCCGTCAACTTGTTCCCAAGATCTGCTATGTGTGTCGACGACCAGGACATGAAAGGAAGGACTGCCAGCAGCGCTGTGATGTGTGTCAGCGTCTAGGGCATGCAACTGCTGCATGCTGGTATGCTACTGGAACTGCAGCCAACTCTGGAGTTGGTCCCATGCAACAACAGGCTTATAAGGTTAGTGACGTATTACACGTTACGCTTAATAAATACCCACATATTTATAAAAAAAGAGTCATCGTTAATGGTATCAAATTGATGGCCTATATAGATACTGGAAGTAAGCTTAGCATACTTACTATTACACAAGCCCAAAAAATGAAACTTAAAACTCGGCCCTCAGTTATTGTAATGAAGGGTTTTGGAGGAGCCTGTTCATATTCGCTAGGTACTTGCCAAATTATTGTAAATGTTGATGATTTATTTTTGGTAGGAGATGTAGAGTTAACCGATTGCAAGCTACCAGATATAGACTTAATAATCGGACAATCAATGATAAATCAAGAAAATGTGAGCTTAGTTACTACGTCGAATCTCGTAAAATTTGTTCCAACCTTCACTTTAGGAGATGTCTTAACAAAAAACAGTTTTAACATAATTGAATATGTTTCAAAATTTCCAGTCTTTACAAAACTAGACGTCACTATACCTAGCCGAACCTATGCATACATTAGCGTAAGTGTCGACTGTGACAGTAATACTGACAAAAACAAGCACGCATTCCTAACACATGCAGTATGTTTTCAGCTAGGTGGGTTATCGTATTATATTCCAGAAGCCATTATTAATTCCAGTATGTCATATTTAAAGGTCCTAAATGTTGGGAATGAAACTATATCATGGCCTGCTAATAAACTCGTAGCTAGAGCAGAGATTTTAAAACAAAAAAATAATAGCTTTGAAACCAATACTCTTATTATAGACCAAGTCACCAATAAGTCCGAAATTAAATTGTCCGATATCGATGTGGGTGAGTTAAATCATAGGGAAATAAATGTATTTCTACAATTATTGAATAGGTATGCTCATTCATTTGCCAGAGATACGAAAGATTTAGGATGTACTAACTTAATTAAGTTACACATAAAAACTATTTCTAACCAACCTGTGTATCGTAAACCGTACAGAGTTTCGCATAAGGAAAATGAAATAATGAACGGCAAAATAAATGAACTCTTGGAAGCAGGAATTATAAGAAAATCCACATCGGAGTATGCTAGTCCTGATGTCCTAGTCAAGAAAAAAGGAGGGGATTATAGGCTTTGTGTCGATTATAGGGCGTTGAATGCTAATACTATTAAGGATCGATATCCCCTACCTCACATTGAAGACCAAGTTACCCGTCTATCGGGTAAATCCTATTTTACAACACTAGAACTCGCTCAGGGATACTACCAAGTACCAATTGATGATGAGTCCATAAGAAAAACCGCGTTTATCACCCAATCAGGCCTTTATGAGTTTTTAAAAATGCCTTATGGATTATCCAATGCACCAGCTGTATTTGCGCGACTAATCCAAGTAACTTTAGGGGAAGTATCTCACGAAATAGCTCTATATTTAGATGATGTTATGATTCCAACTATTTCAGTAAAAAGGGGATTAGAACTTTTGGAACAAGTCTTGGGGTTACTTGAAAAAGCTAATCTAAAATTGAATTTAAAAAAGTGTTCATTTCTTAAAAATACCACTAATTATTTGGGCCATGAAATCTCTGCCGGTACAATACAGCCAGGTCGAGCTAAAATTAACTGCGTAGCTGAATATCGTCGGCCCCGAAATGTACACGAAGTCAGGCAGTTTATTGGATTAACGTCTTATTTTAGAAAATTTATAAGAAACTTT